CGCTGTTCATAAAAACCACAATCATATTCTTCACACGCAAAAGTAAGTAGCTTCATACCTACATAAATATAAAAAATTACTAAAATATCAACCTGAACTTAATGTTATAGGGAAACATTTTCCACAACGTTCCTCCATATTAGAACTGGAAGAAAAATGTGTGTGGTTTCACGTAAAAACAATGAACTTTCACACGCGTAGAATCCACGTTGATTTAGTGTAGTTTACTGCAGAGAATCAAAGCCGAGAAGTCGGCTTGCGGTGGTGTTGTAATTGAATTTGGAGAACAATCAGTTTCCCGCGCCACATTCGGATACATTCGCAACACGCACACCCAGCACGCACCTGTTCACTATTTTATTAGATAAAAGAAACCCAAATATATTTATGGGCCGGGTAAACATATAATGAACTCCCCTTTTCACTTCTTTTGTTTTCCAAATAAAGGTTACAACGAAATGATTCTTAGAATTATTGTTAGTGTCTAGACAAGCGTCTAGAAGGCTTAAATTATGAGTTGTTTCTAATTACATTAGTTGCCAAAATAACTTAGCTGAAAATTGTTGATTAGTATGATCAATATATTATTTAAAAACATAGCCGAAAGTCAACCACCGTCCTTGTCAAAACGGGGGCACGTGTCTATACTTTTTAATCACGAGAAAAAACAATAAAGCAATCTCTCACAAGTATCGTTTTCACCCGACAATAGAATGTAAGCCCCGCGTGATAATTGAATCGAGAGGGTCTGGCCGACCCCACGGCTCGCATTAGTGTTACATTTGATTCGTATGTGACCCATACTAGAGATACAGTGTCTTTATTTTCGACTACAAGCATTTTCTTACGGCATTTATTTCGTAAGTTGAGTTTAACAAGACACTGTTTATATAAACTTAAACTTTTTATTAAATAACTTAATAAAACGATTGTTTAAATAGGTATTTTATCGTTTGCATCTACAAAATATATTTGCATCAATTAGTTACTTAATTTACTATATTATAATAATTTAGAAACCTAAAAGGAGATGCTAATTTTAAGGATAGAATGTTTATTTATTTATTTATGAGGAAACCCTACATCTTTGTCTTAGGAGCATGTAGGTACCAGTATTTGACACCTCTCTATTATTGATGATCGTCACTTAAATGATAGATATATTTTAAGTACAGAATGGTGATAAGTGAGTACCTATTGACACGAAACAAGAAGAAACAACGGCAGCATCACAGCGGGTACCCAGTTTGTTTGTACTCCTGTGGGAGGGGGTCATTACTGAACTCCATTACACTTTTTGTGCCAAGTGTTTTGGTGGTATAACAAGGGTGAAAACGACCCTACAAAACGAATGACATGCTCTCACTGTTTTTATCGTCTGTTGTGAGAAAGGAAAATATTTTTACTGACTTTTTGTTTAGATACACTCCATGTACTATGTCATTGTGTGTTCTTAGGGCGATTATAAAGTGTGCAAATAAATCTAGTGTGTTTGTTTTTTACACAATTGTTGGTAAATCAGGTATATCGTTTAGTTAAACTAGCTAATTCAACACTGACTTAAATAATTATTCATGTTTCATATTAAAAAAAACGGAATTGTTATGTACAGTCAGGGGTCAAAAATACAATTACACTCTATCAATTTTAAAATTACTAAAATTTAGTTTTTAGAAGTTCAGTGGTTCACAGCCAGTTTATTCAATAATTTATTTTATATATAGATTCTATGCTATAAATTAAAGCAGTCCTCAACCATTGACTCTGTTGTACAAAGATATTTTGGTCATTTTAAAATTGGTAGAGTGCAATTGTATTTTCGACCCCTGACTGTACATATTTCCTAACAATGATAGATAAAAAGAAAATAACGGGGTATCTATTTATTCACGAAAACTTTTTTAAATAAAAAATTAATAAAAGTATATTCCAATAACTGTAAATTAGTTATTTCATATTTATATTTTATTATATTGTGAGGTAAGGGTTGGCATTGGCTTTCTCTATGAATATTTAATTATAATAAATGACATAATATATATGTATATTATTTAATTACACAAAGAAAAATAACAACAATACATTTGTCATTATTAAAGTTTACGTAAGTAAATTACCTACTTATTTAAATCAAAATTTGTTGTGAATAATGTTGGCTTTTGTTTATATGTGCGCAAATGTTTCAAAAAGTTTTAGCTAATTATTTTATTGGTGGACATGACAATTTGCTCGGAAAGTAAGCTAATGAAGTGAAGTGAAAACCAAATGGCGGTTCGGTGACCCGACAACGATCTACACCTTAGTGATTAAGTCAGTGAGAATTATTTAATGAGCCTTTGTCGAACACAGACGCCAGACCTAACGGATGAACTTGCGATCCCGCGACGCTTTACGTAAAATGGCATTGTTTTTTTTATTTGTACCCACTTATAAAAAGAAGACAATAAAAAAAGATTTTTGTACAGATTTACCAGATAAATATGTACCTATTTTTACTCACTATTTATTATTATAGGCTTACTAAGAATGAAAAGAGGTTTTTTTTCACAAAATTGCTAGATATTGGGAAAATAATAAAAGTATCTAATAATGCGAAACAGCGAACTCTACCGGGTAAAACGTTTGAAAAGAATTTCGCAAGCTATTACACTAAGTGATCGCATAACATTTACATGCCCTAATACGCTTGAATACAGCAAAGAGAGAATTGTCATCAATCTTGAAGGGGTGTGGAGCGCCATAATGCGTCGCGCATATGGCGTCATTGGCGCTAGGCGTTCCGCTCCGACGGGCACTATAGACCCACATCGGCCCGAAGTGACCCGCAGCGACCTTAGACCATATCACAGATCTCACACAAGTGGACACTAGCCTCTAAAGCACCTATTGTGTCAACCCCTTTGTAAACGCACACGTCAATGACAAATGTTACATTGACGACGATTTCAATACATGTTATACATCCATTTGCAAATTGCCCGCATTTAATCTGTGTAATCTTTTTTGTTTGATATTCTAAACAACAACAACAAACAAGTGTATCATTGTATGCACTCTTTGTTCGACGTTTGTATATTTTTTATTTACGGATTAACTGTAGGTAAATCAAATACATTAACTGTAAGATTAAAATATCTCTGAAGATACTTGGTGAGTGGTTCTGTTTTAAAATTGGGAATTCGATAGCAGTTAAAGCAATTCCTGTTATCTATAGACAAAGAGGATATACCCAGTGGTTATATTGTCATTGTCTATAGGTGCAGAACATTGTGTGACAAAAATGTATTTAGATAAACTTAATTAAAGTAAGTGACGATATATTTTTTTCTTATACTTATACATTTTTAAACCGATACATGGTTAGCTAACGTGTGGTGCATAAAATCGTCTTCGATTAACTTTGCGTAATGTTCGCAATAAATATTTATGGGTTCGGATTTAGTGCGCAGTGTATCATAGGTGTAGCACGTTCGAGCGCGGGGAGGGAGCGCTAAGTGCCGGGAGGCCACATGTCACTCTCGTCGTGCTAATCTCCAGGATTTGCCATCCAGTGTCCCTCGCCGTCCCCATCTCCCTCACACCAGTGACAAAACGATACGTCTATTTCACGCGGCTCATTGAATATTATTGCTCCATGGGGATTTTGAAAATATGGAGCCGTTTAGCGAAAGCCGTACATTGTATCCATCCAGTGGAATTATTCATACGCGACCCGTTGCATTTATCACTTAATGGTATTAGCTATTAGACCATTTAATCGCTCGATTTGCGACTTTATGGCCGAATTGAAGTTTTACTATTCATATTACTGGATTGAGTTCTTTGAACAGATATTATGAGTGTGTTACTCAACAAGATAACGGTAAGCTGTTGCATGTTCAAACTAATTGACTGCTTCTCTATAATTTCAATCCTCACAATTAGCACAAGTAACCATTTTTGTGATTCGAACACAGGTGTGCCATTGTTTGGTGTCGTTGCACTTAATTAATTAAAGTTTTGTGACGGCACTTGGCCGACATTGAAATCTATTGAAATAAATCAGTAAGTCAATGTCTGCGAGCATAATGATCGCATGGTGCTGTCAGCGCGCCATGCGGCACGGGAAGCACATGGCGGGTTTTGTTCAAACAAGCCACAGCGAAACTCGACTAAAAATTGCAAATCGATCTTGTAACTGTATGCATAGGGTTGTAACTTGCATGTAGTTTCGTTTAGTAGACGCAGTGACGTGCTGGTTTTATTGAGTGCATTGCGGGCCCCGGCTTGTCATTGCTTCCCTCCAACCCTAAAATGATTCCATTCTGCCGCCGGACGAGCCGACAGGTTAACTTTTGTTATTCTACAAAAGCCGCGCATTACAGTCCGATTGTTGGCACAAATGTCGGATATTATAAAGCATTTCGTGTTCCCTAACGATTATTTCAAGTGTAAAGTGAATAAGCGAATGAGTCCACATTTTAGGGTAATCTTCGATCAATAGGTAGCTTCTGATTTCGCTTCATTACCCTGCGACTATTGTTTGATAATATAATGAATGAATTGTGATTAAAGTATAACATTGTATGAATATAATATTACAGTATTAAAAAATAAAAATCAGACAAAACTGGGTTATCTCGAAATTAAACTTTGTGTTTCAGAAATAGGTACGTGTGAAAAACTGTGCTTAGTAAGTACTAAAAACGTGCGTCATAATCATCAGTTTATTTTATTGTATCATAATTTCAAATATTTAGGTGCAACTAAACCCTGTAAACAAAAAAGAAATTAGAAAACAGCAACTAAAACACTACAGGTTCACAGTATGCACAAAAGACAAAGTAACAACAGAAACAAGATGCATAATATACATCGAGCCTGACTGGATAAATTTTCCCTCTTTTATAAAAGCTTGACGTCTGGGGGTATTGACTTTTCATATCAACAAAGAAAACGTGAAAATATTTCTTTACCAAACGGTAAGTCAATAGAGGTTTGAGGCATTGCCCTCGAGGTGGTTAGAGAGGCGAGAGACGGGCGGGACGCGGGGCGCGGGGAGGGGTAGCGGTGGTACGGTGCGCAGCCTGCGCCAGGGGACGGCGGTACTCTTCTTGATTACAGCGCTCCCCAAGCCTCCACACCATCCCCCACCATACACCCCGCCTTACTGCAATACACATAAGCCTACACAATGACAGTCGTGTATAACTTTCATTGTTCAGGTTACTGAAAATATTTAATTTTAACTTGCACGCTTCTGGCCTAGCTCTGTATGTGAATCTCATATGTAGGTCAGCGAGATTAAATTTTGTATTAGAAGACATGAAATTATATTACGTTTAGGTTAAATTACTGGAAAAAGTAAAGTATTATTTATGACTGCTTCATTGAACACTGTAACTGTTTATGAAACCATGTGAGCTTATAAGCAGACTTAGAGTTTTATCAAACTTACTAAAAAGCTTGACAAAAGTTGGAAGTTGTAAAACAAATCTAGTGAAATACGTGAAGGTTCAGGTAGGGTCGCAGGTGGGTGCGGGCGCCGGCGCCGAGATTGTCCCGCATCAAACATGCACGAGCTTCGCAACCATCGCCCTGCTCGCTCGTAAAAATGCATATTCAAGCGAAAGGGCGGATGCTTTTAATACAGCGCAGTAATGAGCAGCCGAGATCGGCAGTCTCCTTAATTTTCTCTTTACTGGCCTATTCAGGTAAATTGTTAGCCCTTATTAATTGCTTTACAACGGGAAGGAGGGCCCAAATAAAACTTTATCGCTGGGTACCTCCTTCAAACGATGTGTCTACTCTATCTAACTCTTACATAGTTAACTTTATTAAATTGCCAATTAAAAATTTATCCAGTTTGGAGAGAATCACAAATACTAACGAATGAAATGCATTGGATTGATTGCCTATTAATTAACAAGAATTTACTTTATGGCACGGATTGTTTTCATGATTCAGTTATCGATAAATCCATTTCAAAAGTTGATGCGATTGGCCCTAATTTATTAAAGCACGATATTTTATTGGCCTACTTCCAATTTACGATAAATGGAATCAAAAAGCCGGCTACCTCATAATTAGCCACGCGAACCATAAGCCCCTTTGCCGGTATGCTACGTAAGCGGATGGGCCACATGCTGCGCCCATTTTGTTTTCATTATTATGGATGGTAGGAAAATATTTATTAAGATATAGATCAGTTCAAATTATTGTTTTGATATTTAAACAATATGTTTAATTAGTTTCCATTATATAGGTACGTCCGACAGTAAAATACTAACGTACAAGTTGGTTCTGTTTATCAGATCAGATCAGATAAGTACACTATTTTTCTGAAAGGTTAAGCTGATAGTAGTACCTATGGAACGGTAATCAACCTTGTACTTAAGTTCTAGATTAAAATAAAAGTCCTATATCTTAGTACTAATGACAATACTATGGTACATTTGATGTTCTTAACAGATAGCAATACGTCGCTAAGCCCTCGGCTCGAGCAGGCGTACTGAGCAACTCGTTTGATTGATTAAAACGCTAACAAAGGGATAATGCTGATCACTGCGAGCTTTGTACAGAAGCCCTTTATGTACTGACTCGGAGACCAGAGTAATCAAACCAGCCCTCTATAAAAATCACCCACGGAAATTATAACCTTCCTCCGCTCTCCCTTTTGTGAAGAAAATATTGTGAGATGGAAATCCATTCAGAACATTTGAATCAACAAAAATAATTATTGTTTGATGTTTGACATACTTCCAGTCTGTCTCGTTTGTAAAGTTTCAATGGATTTGTCTTTCTAATTTTTTTGTTTGTGATTTGCTTTTTAATGTTTGTATGTTTGTAGCTTGTTAGCGGAGGTTGAATTTTCGCAGATGTGATTCCTAGTTTTAGAATAACTACAATTAGTACGAGTATAATATGTCATGTGGTCATAAAGGTAGATAACAATTAGGGTCTCAATAGATCATATAAGTTAAAGCTAGAAATAATAATTCAAAAATAAAAATGCATTTCCTGACTACACTAAAATGTCTTGAATGAATGAATATACTTTGTTGTACACCATAATAATAAAAAGACATGGCTCCTATTTTTATATTTTTAAATATTATTTTATTGTTTTTTTTAGTAACATTTAGAAATGTAATTGTAGAGTTATTAAAAAAAAGAAAACAAAAATTTCTTCAGCAATTTCTTCCAGACAGCCTTTGGATGGAGTTTGACTGTAGAAGAATTATAATTGAATAGGCTACAAAACTACTTGACCGATTTGAAAAAAAATGTTGATAAGCTATCAATATCTATCCCGATGAACATATAAAATATGCGAGCAAAACGGCGGCGGGGGCACAGCTTTTACCTTTAGGATTTCCAGTATCAAACATCGAACAAGCCCGCCGCAACCTCCCAAAACCGCTGCAACTCCTGTAAGTCAGGATCTACAGTAGATACACCCATGAAAACACCGAAACACTGAAGTCCGGCGCGTCCCAGGGACATGAATGACTGTTTTGGATACCACAATAAAATAAATCAGAAGATATTATTTGAAGAGAAGAAAATAACGAAAAAGTTTCCACTTCCCTCGGTAAATTTAATGCATGAGACCACGATGGAACAAATAAGAAATATAGAAGTATTCTTTATTTACTTATACATACATATATGTATTCATATGGAACATCGGATCAGAATTCCCTAGAGTAGGCCCTAGGAGTTGCATCCCGTAGCAAAGTAATCATAACTGATCTAAATCAGGTGAGTCAAGGTGGGTCGAGTTTGTGAGGGGTGCCGAACGATGCCCGATGTTCGGTCTCGATGACCCGAGACCCGACAGATGTCGCCCCCCGCAGCGCGTATGATGATCGGGCCCCAACTAAAGTACGCATCATAAACTTTGTTGTTGTGAATTATTTTATATCTGAGACGCTAATTATTATGAGGCATATGATATATAATATGAATCCTTATTCTATCGATTTTTTGCTGTACAGACGATCCTAGCAAGCTTAGCATGGATGCAATGCTGATACTAAATGTATTCACTGTTTAATGGCCTTAATCACTCAATCTGTTATAAAAAGCCGCATCAAAATCCGCTCAATAGTTTTAAAGATTTAAGCATTCCGGCTTTCAGACACAGAAAACAGGATAAAGAAAACAACTTAGTTTTATACCTACTATATAAAAATGATTTTATCACTAAAGTTCATAAACATTCCATTTTGCGTGCAGTTTCTTAATAACTTCGTCTTTATAACAGTTAACCAAAAATAAAAATAAATATGACATTGCGCAGTTATTTCTATTTGTAAGAGACATATATGTATGTATAATGTCTCTTGTTAATCGTGTTATCATACCATCATACATACCGAAATACCAAAATGTTTTCACAGTAATCCAAAACTGATATTATAAACGCGAATGTCTCTCTGGCTGTCTGTCTGTCTGTCTTTTCTTAACACCTAAACCACTGAACCTATTTGCTTGAAATTTGGTACAGACATAGTTTGGATCTCATGAAAGGACATAGGATAGCTTTTAAACCCGAAATCCGCAGGAAGTCACTATTCCACACGAACAAAATCGCGGGCAAAAGCTAAGTACCATCTAATTGCAAATCGTGTATGTATGTTAAATACTTACAGAATTTGAGATAAACTAAATTGCCAAGATACATTGTATCCTAATTGCAACTGTAAAATTAGTTCTCATAACGATATCCAGCAGATAACTTTATATAATTGGCATTTCATTCAAATTCTAACTAGAAGCCGCTAGAAAACAATTTTTTATAAAAAAAGTCGTTTAAAACAAAACTTCTTCCATTTTATTTATTTCCTACTTGATCTAGTTTTTAAATTAATTTTTATTAAGTTTAAATTATTTTTTTAACAAAACGACGAAGTGTATGTGGCATTATATAAATTAGTCTACTAATGCCAAAGTTTGTAAGTATAGATAGATATATAGGTAAATGTTTATTGTTGTTTTACATTAAAACTACCGAATGGATCTGAATTTGGCATTGAGATAATTGTAATCTGGAAAAGCATTTGCTACAGACCAGTCACTATAAACTTTTAAATACTCGGCCCTCGGCTCCTTTACTAAGTAATGTATAATGAAGATTCCGACAACATTAATTCATATGACAATGCTCAATTTATTTATTGTATTACGGATAATTAAACTAAATAAGTCATTATATAAAAATAAACTTCAGTACAGGTAACGTTTAACCAGAAGTGTCCCACGTACAATTGGTGTTGTGGAAACCGGAAGAGACGATTCGCCGCGCACGCGCCGCCACGTGCTTACTTCCGGTTTTAATGCTATGATATAATAGGAGACATCTCCTCCTCGTTTAGCCAAAATACTTTGTAAATATTTACCACGATATTTTCTCACGCGTTTTTTTTAATAAAATTGTTGATTCATCGAAAAAACTAGGTGGTGATTGTCACATCAGTTTCTGGTAGAAAAAGTATCAACTTATATACAAATAAGAGATAGAATAATGCTAGATTTAGATACATGGATCAAGACAGTGCTTTTGTGAAATTAATGGCTAAGTATAGTAAAATTTATTTGGTTTAATCCAGATATTTTTTTGTATAAATTATGAGAAATCTTAATTATTAGCAGGCACTTTAAGGTCATAGTTTTCTGAAAAAATATTTGACAGAATGACATAGATGTCAATGAAAAAATAAGTTAAATATAATGTTAAAAGCAGCATGAATGTCTTCGAGTTTTCATTCATTGCATAAGCAATACGAAACCGTACCGTAATAAACCTGATTGAGTAGTATTTGGCATTCTGATTTAACTTTTAATGACACCTTTTTCTGCCCACCTTCTTCAAAAAATCTCTATCAATACTTTTTAGCATCTCATTATCAAGGATGTCGGATAAGGTTTTAATAAATAAATACATCTCAGTAAAATGCATAATGCATGTAAACTAAACCGGTTATACAAAATATTCCCACGTACTTATCTTGAAAGGTTTCTGATATTAGCATTATTTTCTTAATTATAAAGCAATATCTATAATAATAGAAGATTAGTTAAGTTATAATAACTGTGGCGACCGGCTGTACCGTCGGCTGCCGTCCCCGCCGGCGGCGGCGGTACGGCAACCGCCCCGATTCCATAGCAGTGTAATCACAGGGTTCAATATAAGTATTACACAGGCTTAGCACAATAGTAATTATTCGTAAATATTATATTTTGAATAATATTAAATAGGAAAATAAATCGCAAAAATATATTTTTTTTTTTTATCGTGTCATTTAGTTTGAATTGCTTAACAATTCGTACCTGAAGACATATTTTTTTATTAAATAATCTTTAATGTAAAACTTTCTTTACTGAAATAAGGTTATTTGTTTTTTTTTTCTTCAACTTAGTTTGTTTTGTGACAGACAGTAAATGGAGGTTTATGCAATAAGTATTCATATTCCATGCTAAGAAATACATACTTACTTATTAGTAATTCTTATTAATTTTATAACATTCGAACGAAGGTTATCCAAAAGCACAATGCACCCATGATTGGTTAGTTTAAATTTAAAACATAAAAAAAGATGGCAAACCTATTTTTAGAACATGACATAGATATACGCTGTTTACAATAACATTTATAACTTTCCATTACTTCCAATAAAAACAAATTCAAGTTCATATTAAAGTGGCAGTAGGCACTCAAAGCAACATTTCTTTACTTTAAAAATACAAAACGTCTACATACAAACAGGGTTCCCTTAATTTACTAATTGACGTGTTATCGGCATAGTTGTTAATACAATGTACCGTACGCTCTTGTCTGGTGTTAAAATCAAAAAAGTCCATCGCCACTCCTGTGTGGAGCACTTTACTTGATTATTCGAAGTCATATGGTGTGTGTGGGTGAAAACCCATAGGAACGAAGGCCCCTACGCGTGCCACGTCCTTCGGTAAAACCCTAACACGTGCCCATAGCCTCATAATTATAGGACTGAGCATAAAGTTCTCTGCGGCTTTTATTTTTACAAATCTTTTACTTTCTATCCTTATTTGTTGTACTTCTTTTTTTTTAGATGTGGTCTTAGGCAAAAATCCTGATAAAAATAAACCGATTTTTGACTGGCTTTAAATAAATAAAAATAAAAGTTAGTTAAATTCCGTATGAATATTAATTATTTTATAAATAGGAAGAAAAGAAAAGAAAAAGCTGATTCATTCATGGAGCAGAAAATTGGCTATACTTGGTAATACCTAAATAATGATGGCAAACCTGTTGTAACTAAGTTTTTATAAACCAAATGATTGCATCGTGATGACCATTAATATCATAACTAAATATAGAATTTTATAAGTAACCTTTTAAGGACAGAGTGTTGTGTTGTTTAAAAATGCCAACAGTAGGTATATACTTTGAAAAGAAAATGTTATTAATTTTTTTTTATGTAATAGGTCGGCAAACGAGCGGACGGATTACCTGATGGTAAGCAATCAGCGCCGCCCATGGACACCCGCAACGGAGGAGTTACGAGTGCGTTGCCGACCTTTTAGGCATTAGGGATTTGGAGATTTAGGGATTGAGGAGGGATTGGGGGAGGGGAAGGATTGGGCCTCCGGTAACCTCACTCACAAGGCGAAACACAACGCTGTGGTTGTTTCACGCCGGTTTTCTGTGAGGCCGTGGTATCACTCCGGTGGAGCCGACCCATTCGTGCCGAAGCATGGCTCTCCCACACTTGGAAAATGACTTAATCTTACACATTTTATTACTTGTATGCATAATTATGATCAGTTTCATTATCTACTTTAAATTGTATCTCACCACGACAGCAACACGTGGCAACAATATTAACATTGTAACTAGTGTAAAAATTGTTGGTTTTCCTAAATAAACAAATAAAATAAAATTATGTCTCATAGTCTCATACACTTAGTATTTTTACTGAGAGAGTTAGGCACTATACAAATGCTTGAGTAAATATTAATATTAAGATATTATTATTATATTTACTTTAGACCAAATGTTGGACCATAAAATTTTACTAAACCTTTTTTTTTAAATGTGTAATTGACAAAACATAAAAAAGGTTTTAAATGAAGAGATTTTGTAAGTTCTATAACAAGTCCTAAGAAGTCTTAGTTGGGAATCAATTGAATATTAGTACTAAAAATAAAAACTATGTAAACAACGATTTAAATACACGTTATACAAGTTAAAGCTTAGATATTGCAGGTTGTCCGACAACTAAACAGAGTTTAAGTATATTTAGAATAAAATCTCAATTTATTTTCTCAAGCCTACGCTACGTGAAGAAGTGTTTATTTGTCAAGGTGACGACGTCATTGAGTCGCGCGTTGCCGCCATCAGCTTCTTATTTTGAAATAAAATGCAGACCAGCTAGCAGTTCTTTCTGACTACACAGATTATAAAACAATCTGACTATTAGAATCGCCGAATTTTCTTTATATATACATTCGATCCGAAATCGATGCGAATTTATAATACTTATATGTCGTAGTCATGTGATTCTCCGAAAAACCTTAATTTTTATTTTACAAATCACATTTTACATTATCCTTCCGAGTTGTTTAGCATCTTAGTAACTCATTATTATAATCAATATTTCGATTGCTTGTTTTGATACGAAGAATCATACAGCCATAGGGCATACCGAGTTTTCTAGGTCTGTTTTTTCTGGATTTTGGAACGGATTCGGATCGGACGAGGAGTAAAAAATTTCATAATCAAGTGCTTTTTCAATTTTTTTTTTATTTGGTAGGCCGGGAAACGATCAGACGGATACATGATGGTAAACAATTAGCGCCGCCCTTGGACACCCGCAACAACAGAGGAGTTATGAGTGCGTTGCCGACTTTTTGGGGATTAGGTATTTGGAAGATTTAAGGATTAGGGATGGATTTGGGGAGGGGAACAATTGGGCCTCCGGTAAGCGCCGGTTTTCTGTGAGTTTCAACACCTTCTTCATAAACATCCCACATAAAGTTATTTGGCCACACACAACAAACTCTATATTGTATTTGACATAGAGCGGTTTTTGAAAAACATTGCGAAACAGTATCTTAGAATGCACCTATTTAAGAAAGCAATTATTAACAATAAAGAAAAAATATATAATTATCTATTAGCAGTAAGACTAGGTAATTTTAATGTAAGTAAGTAATTTTAATACTTTTCAACTATGTAAATTACAATCATTAGAAACTTTTTGACAAAATGCAACTTATAATATTATAAAGTGGATTTGCATTTTTACAATTTCATAATTTACTTACTTATAAACGAATCGTATTTATAGTTAGTAATTAATTTTTTTGCTTGATTACATAAATTATTATTTCCTTATAGCCTGTCGTAAAGACTATTGGTAATAAAATATTTTTTAACTTCGATTACTACCTAGCACTAAGTAGGTACTTACGTACTTGGTATTATTAAATTATTATAAGTTGGCTGGGCAACTCACGTAACCATCAACATTCAGGATTAGTTTTACTCGATTATCAAATGTAATGCAAACGGAACCATTTTTTACCTTAAAAGTAAATTACAGTTTATTAAGACAAGGCCACGATCTCAACGGTAGATATCATCTACTCTTCAAGTGCCAACTTTTATGAAGTAATCAATAAGTAGAAATCGTGTACCTAGGTATACAAACTATACAGTAAAGGCACACATTGTTAGAAGACATAGAAAATATAATATTTAGGAATGAGGTCTACCTTCAAGCGCCTTGTTTCTTGCGAGCAGAGCCAGCAAGACATCGGGCGGCGGCGGGTCCAGCGGGTGCATGGTGTCGAGCGTGGCCTCCATGGGAGCGTCGCGCCGCGCCTCACAACTCGCGACCACCTCGCTGTACTCAGCCTCCATCAACGCCTCACTATGTCCCATAAACACACTGTTAACATCCAACGCCTTCACGACTTAGCATCCCGAGTCGCGTAAACAACACGCTTAAACGAACACCTGTGCATGGTCCCGGACTCCCGAACGCGTGCAAGGAGCGGCAGCAGCGGGCGTCGCGACGCGGCCGAAAGCCGGAGCCACGTGGCGGCGCCGCCCACGCCCGCCCCTCGCCGCCGCACTCTCGCGCCGCGCCGCCCTCCTGCCTCCCATTGAGAAGTCATTTTTTACCCCCTGAATCTGATAAACCCTGGGGCGAGCGGGGAGGCGCGGCGGCGAGCGCGGCTCCCCCGCCCCGAACTAATTTGCTGAAGTCGTACGACACACCCCGGGTACTTACATCCATCTACAATATTACTCTAGCACGTTATCCCGTTCGCGGGGCACTTCGTTTCTAGTCATCTAGTCATTGTGATGAAAGAAATTCTGAATCCGTAACAATATTTTCCTTTCTCATATTAAGGATGAAACTGGGCATGAAAAAGAAAAAAATCCGCATCTTTACCGCTTACGTCCATAGAATACAGACAAGTTATCTCGTCATTTCATTCTAATAAATACTCCACATAAATAAATCCGACCTTTCAATATCGTACATGACATTACTTCATTGTGACAATCACTGACGTAAATATTTGTTTAATACTTACTAAAAGTCGTTAGTTATAATATTTTTAAATATTTTATCTATATAATATTTTGTTTATATAAATGTATTTTACATTCCAGTAGTGATAAAATCATGTCGACATGTCCTAGTTATGATCCAGACAAAGTATTCCAACGATTCAAAGTGGTGGAGTTCCCGCCATCATTTGTTGGACTTTCCACGACACGGTTGTTGGACGTAGAAATTGATCTTAATAAATCGGCATATCTTAAAACAATGTGCGAAGGCCGCCTGATGGTAAGTCATAGCTAACAATTTATTTTACTAATTAGTTCTGTTCTATTAGGTATCGCTTTTGAAAGTATTTAGCTTTGCTGGAAAAACTACTTATCAAATTTTAGGTTCTATATTTCTTATTTCAGAAATTTGAAGATGCACGCGAATTATCTGGCAATCATAGAGCTTATAACTTAGAACTCAATGATGAAAGAACTGTTAAAGTTACATTTATGCCTAATAACGACTGTATTGCAAAAGCGAAACATCAAACCCAATTAGGTAACAGATTTGTTTTCGACCTACGTTTAATACAAGTGGACGCAGTAAGGTGTTGTAACCTTGAACTCCATTCAGAAATCGGAAGATATTATATAAGCGGACATTACGAAATGTGTAAAATTTCACATTCTCCAAAAGTTGTGAACTTTGGTAACATTGACATTAATAACAAAGTTACTAGACACATATGTATTAGGAACGAATCCCATTTAATTGCTGCTAAAATGTGGATTGAGAGAATAACGTGTTATGAATTCCACCCTATGAAGTTCACAGTACCCCCTAATTCATCTATAAGAATTACGGTTTCAGTAAAACCAGCGAGTTTTAATGTTGCAAAATCATTTATATTCAAAATAAGAAACCCTCACGACGAACTATTTGATGCTAACTGTGAAACATCATCCCCTGATGATAATTATATAACTTATCGAATCAATAATCAAAGTAACATATCATTCCCAAAAACACCGAAGATAGTAATCACAGAATCATTACATAAGTTGAACGACAAAAATCCTTGCTATACCTACGTAAACGAAGAATTGAAAATACACAATGAAAGAAAACATAAAGCAGATAAATACAAGGATTATTGCCGGCAAAAATATGCGAAAAAAATTGTAGTAGAGAAACGTGTTACTGGACGAGATAACTGCAACTTAGATATACTTACAAAGATTCAAAAACTTGACAAAAATTTCTGTAAAACAGTAATACCGAAAATAACAGTATATGACTTATTTCATATAAAGTTATCTCCAAACGTTCTAGATTTTGGGAAAGTAGCCGTTTTGACTTATGGAGAAAGTGAGTTGAGTATAAAGAATAAAACAAAATATGCTATAACCGTAAAAATGATCGCCGATGATTGTATTTTATACACTAAAAATCGAAATCCCGAAGCGATGATGAGATTAAAACCATTTGATGATATCAAATTAGTCATTTTTTGTCAAGGTCCTGCGATAGGGGTTTATAAAAGTACTATAAAATATGTCATTGATGATTTTTATGTTGGTAAACATCCATATACCATGGAAGTTGAAAATCCTATACTGTCAATACAAGACAAGTGTATCAAATTTGGGATGGTTACAACAGAAGGTTTCATCACCTCAGTCCCTGTGCGTATATACAATAGTTACAATGTTGCAGTGGATTTCAAATGGGCAGAAATACACCCTGATACTCCATTTGAAATATTGCCAGTCTCTGGCTGCGTACCAAGTAACAGCTGTAAGATATGTACTATTACATACATTTCCAAACCAACCAAAACTAAAGTTCACGAAGTTCATTTGATTTCTGATAGCATAACAACTGAAATACTTGTAGTGGAGCTAAGTGTGATTACAAGAAAACTTTCTATTAAGTTTTTGCAACAAGCTGTTATATTTAAAGACATTCCTTTAAACCTGGAGGTTATAGAAAAAGTAAAACTAGAAAATGCCTCGAGGGAAGTTGCTTTCTTCCACGTCGTTGAACCACTTATTCCTGGTATGACAATAGAACCAATGGGTGGTATAATTAGACAAAAAACTGTACAGACTTTAATTATAATAGTCAAAATAGCATGTGTTATGGAGTTTGCACTTGATGTCTTGGTTAAAATAAACAATAAAGAAAATGTTACGTTGCCAGTAAGTGGAAACGTTATTGAACCAAAAATAACGATACACCCAAAGACTATTTACATGTCTCGAATACCTTGCTACTTGGTCACCTATGTCCCAATTACGTTTCAAAACTTTGGGCCAGTAAGATCTGAAGTTGAAGTTTTGGATGCAGGTGATGATAATATGTTCAAAATTTATGTTGCACATGGAAATGAAAAACAAAAAATTACTGGATTTAGCCTTGAAGCTGGACATTCAAAAGTCGTTCACATAAAAGTATGTGATATATTTCGTAGAGAATATGAAATGTTCATTCCATTTAAAATCAACGGCTTATTAGGGCCTCCTAACCAAAATCCTTGGTCCACAGAATTTCATTATTATGTCGGCGAATTTGAACAGTGAGTACCTATCTAACCTTTAATAGTCTATAGAAATGTCTTAATACATATAAGAAATATGTAGGTATAAATATGGGTTAAAATTGCTTCCTAATTTTATAATTGCCTTTCTTTGCTCTAGAAGAGCATGCCGCGTCTGTTATAGTAATTATAACAGATAAAAGAAAATAGAAAAATAATATTTTCTTTATGTTTATTTTTAGACACTATGAAAACAACCCAAAAGTTAAACTAAGAACTGTGAACAAAGATATATGTTATTGTCGTATTGCTGGTGTGATTACCCTTCCTTCAATTGAATTCTCTACTGAAAAATTTGAAATTGATTACGTTCCACATGGAGAGAATAAAATTGAATTTAAAATAACAAATATTTCTAAGAATTTATTAAATGGAACAGTTATAACGACAAAACTGGCACCTATTTTCACTTTAAATGTGATAGAACAAGAAGATGAATCTACGGTTGTGATGGAAAATTGTATAAAGTTTACCCTGAATCCACAAAAAGGAATCCCGTTCACTTTAAAATTCCACCCCAAATGTCATGGTAAATTCGTGACAACAGCTTTGTTATATTTAGATAAACACATGACGATACCTTACTATAATTTGACGTTTATCGGCAAAAGAGAAAATCCAATAATGACGCCCAGTACTTACAGAATAATATTTCCACCTTGTCACGTGGGATCAGAAATATATCAAATTATTACTATTAATTTAGCCGCAGAATCTGATTTCGATGCGTTTAGATGTTTAATTAGTGACGGATCTAACCTCAAAATAAAATTCCTTAATCATAGCATTCATGAAGAAGACGAGGAAATCCATACAATTCTCACGGTTAAAGTGGAACTTACAACTAAAACACCTTATTTAGGCAATATAATGGTTCATTTTTACCATGACAGTGGGTCTGCTTGTGAAGTAGAAGTTAATTTTTGTGTCACATATTGCCTAATAACTTTACATGGTAATAATTTCGTTAAACCAGAAAACAATCCGTATCCCTACTATCCATTAAGTGAGCAGACCAATCTTTACAACTACCTCGAAAATTGTTCTAAATTTTTAGAAGAATGGATGTTTCAACAAGGATTCCGTAGAGATTTATATCCTACTATTCCTGATACATTCCATGCTCTGGCGTCCTCCATCATAGTTCAGCCAGCTACCAAAAGCAAAGGAATTAATGTTTCATACTTGAATTTTGTCAAAAGGATTGCTGGACCACTCATGAAGCATGTCCGTAAAATAGTGTAAGAAACATTTACGTATAAATTCGTTAAAATAAGTAGTTCACATGTTACATACTATGTTCAACTTTTACGTTTTTTATTTCAGAGTGCAAGGTGACGAGCCCTTTAAACAGGTTAAAGAAATTCATGATACATACAAAGAAATTATTAATTTATTAAAATCACGTGGAGCTAATTTGTGGGTCTTGCAAGCTAAGTACCTGCTGAGTCACGAACAATTTGTGATTTATTGTGATAATGTTGAACCAAAGTCTCATGCTGATATGCTGCTCACACAACAATTACTCTCAGATGTAAATTTATTCAACAGACTAAACAAACAAAGTTGGATTGACTTCATTTTACAAAGCTACAAAGTCTTCATCATGGACAGTTGCTTTTTTGATTGTGTTTGTATTAGCCCCGGACACAGAGATATACTCAGAATATTACTTGACTGGTATAATGAACAGATTATGCTAAAACAACAACAGCTTATCGGGAAAACTAAACCTATGAAACAAATTGTCAATCTAACGACAGATTTATCCGATGGAATCGCCCTAGCTTCAGCGATAATACATTTTTGTCCATTCCTATCTGATCATTTTTCAGCGTTCTGTGAAGTAAACGAAGCTAGTAGAGAAGGCGACATTATCAATAACGCTTGTATTATTATAGAGGCAATGAGCATACTTAGACTTCATTTTCCACTATCAACTCAAGACTTCTTTCAACCAAATTTTTTACAGATGTTGTTTCTATCTATTCACTTGTATGTCGTTTTACCTATGTTTAAAACAAAACAAACCATCAATTTTCGTCCACCGCTGCTCAGAAGTTCGACGCGACAAATTGTAATAAGTCCAACCAGTCAAGAATCACTAACATTTACCTTCATATTACTAAACAACACTGGAAATCACTTTTTTGTTGAAAAATCTGCAGTCGACAATGGGAAAAAAATGTTCTTAACTGTAAAATATACTGCGAATTTTGTTGCTGATAAAAGTTGTATGCTTCTAGTTCATGGTTACAATAAAACACGAATCTTCGATACATATATTGTGTTTATGCTACACGGACAAGTTGGATTATTAACCCCAGTAAGAAAGTGTAAAGTGTCTGGACCATTATACCGACCAATGAAGGTGGATGTAGTGGCTTCTTCACCATTTTTAGGTTCACATGTGTTTGAGTTGTATATCACAGATGTGGAACCATCAATTCCAGTAAGTTTTGAAGAAACCTCTAAGCCCAAGTTTTTTATTCGTCGACTAAACCTAATTGAAAAAGAGATAACTTTGAATGGCACACCAAAGGAGCAAGCGCAAGATTCCGGTGATCACAAGTTATATTTGCAAATGACGTGTCTCAGTGTCCAAGTGGGGAATACATGGATTTGGTTCACGAGTGACGTGGGACAATTTTTCATAAGAGTAACGACGCAACCTCGCTGGGATATACCTATAGACAGCTTGCAAGCTAAAGTGCAGACGTGGCCGATGGATCCCTGCAGCTGCGGAGAGGCATGCGAGTGCTATAGAACTACCATCCTAATGATACCCCATCGTGTCGACCTCATGCTTAGAGCTATGCGGCATGCTCTTCTAGAACATGCTTCCAGTACTATGATTCAAATATTTGATCAATTAATCGGTATGTTCATACACATCACGTATACCTATATACTTTAGCTTATCTATTATTTTTTTTATTTCACCTCAGGGCCTTTTATAGGGCCCTCTAAGGCTGATGTCCGTCAAGGTTGCGGGGTGAGTGCAAAAATGTTACGCGAGGCTCCGGAGCAGGAGAAGTAACAGGGTGGCTTTTAGTCAGTTAGAGTCTGACACTCCCTCTCACCCAACCCAGGGAGTCAGACGTCATTTAATTATTTCGCCTCTCAAAATAAGTTTATTTTTGTTAAAAAAAATATATTGTTTATTTTTCAGATACGGAAACTGGTAAAATTATCCTAACAATGTTGTTGGAGGAGGGCGGAACTAACATGAGTGACGTGAATCATATTCTTCGCAGCAGCAATACATACAGGATCACGTCGCGTGCTCTGATGCCGCGCATTGAACGCGTCACATTGCAACACCACACGAATGCTATACTGGCATTACCAGTTACTCTTCCAGCAAGTGATAAGTTTGAGAAATACTCAATTTCATTTACTTCAGAGTGTGGCGCAGATATTCGCACATATAGGATATTCTTTATAGAATCCACTGGCAATGTGAGCGAGTAATTATGCAAAACTATTTACACCTTAATTTTCATGGAATAATTTGGTTAATTGACCACCATGGTGGACGGTACCGCTAGGTATACCGGGAGAAAATATATCAATAACAATTTGAAGCATGCCACATATCCAAATAGATGGAGCCCATAAGGGCTGATGTGCAGCCGGTTTTACGGGTGTAGGTGCAGTAATGTAACGCAGCCTGAAGCAGAACAAGGGACGGAGGGGTTTTTGGACAGTAAGAGTCTGATAGTCTCTCTTTTCCCACCCAGAGCGGAAGAAAAAGTAATAAGACGATTATCTTCCCTATAAAAAAGCCCTATATCCAAATATTTCTTTACATTTACACACTCAAGCGTTTTTTTTAATGTTGCCCCACACTTGAAGTCTCTCTAGTGTCGTGGTTGCATTAACTAACTTTACATTCACAGTACACGCAGACCCGGAACAACAATTTGTGGATCACTCAAAGAGTTGTTCCATGCGAGTTTCGAACCTGGCTGCGACACGCACGACGGCAGCCACTGCGCTAACCGTGCAGTCTATCGATTTGTAATTCAAAATATTCCAAAATCTAGTATTTAACATATTCCGATGTCTAATTAGTAGTCCTCACCCTTACGTACTTACATGTTGTTCAAAACGGTTATTCATTAATACCAAACCAGTTGAAAACTTTTTTTTTCAGTCTGCCATGTAAATGAACAGGTTATGACGTATCTTTTTATTGCCAGCCAGAAACCAGTACAAAGGTACCGAACCAATTGTTCGTCGAGTGTTCGAACCAAACTTTATTACTTACTTTACTTAAAATTTTCATAAAACATACATGTATATGTACTCATACATATCTCAGTCTTACAAGCTCGAAATGATGTATGTTCATATTTTAGGCTTCCAAGCAAGTATTTAAGTCACTTAAATCTTTCAATTTTTGTTGATTTAATTTATCACTCCCGGCACCGCCTCGTTCAGGTACTCACTAATAGAATCTTAGTATTATAAACGTGCCACGACCAGAAAGCCTCAAGACCAACCTCATTTTTTAAAATATTTTGCCAAACGATTAGAAATCCTACTAACACTGTAAATGTGAATTGATGAAAATCTATGGATGTTTTGTTCATAATGTTTGTTATTCTTCACGCGAAAAAGGAAGGACCGATTTGCTAGGTAATATTATATGATCATTTGATATGTAGATAGATGATGCTTGATTAACACAAGCTTTTTTAGTAAGGGAATAATCCTGTAATTACGCTGTTATCACGCCCAAGGTGAGGCGAGAGAGTGTCAGTGACTCTTACTGACTAAAAACACCCCCATTTCTTCTCTTGCTCTAGGCCAAGGCTGTAATGCCTTATTGCGCTTGCCTCACAACCCTGGCTGATTAACACAGAGGCTGGTTTTTACCAACAAAGTTTTAATTAATGAGTTATCCTTCGTCTTACGCAGAATAATAGTCGTGGTAAGGCTGCAGGGAACTACTGGTTTCAGAACAATTCTAACCAGCAAACCTGGAAATCACTCGTATTTAAATCGAAAGGTACACGAGTCAAATGTTTTTTACGTATATTTATAATTATTTATGTTTTATATTTTATAAATACATTTCATTATAATATTTAATTTATTGTTCATTTATTTAACACTGAAGAATTGCACGTCAATTATCTTTTTATTTATTCTTGTTTATAAGTCTTTAGTTTAATTAATTTTATTCTGTACCTCTTTATGATTTTATAAACGTAAGTAGGTATAGTTATTTTTCTTAGTAAGTTTACTATAAAATCATGTCATACAATTATGATATTTTTACCTCCAAATTGTCTGCAGGAGCAATGAATATCGTTTATTTCGTTGTTAGAGCACAAACAAACATGACTGAATACCATTTCAGGCTGCATTTCCAAAAAATAAAATTACAATACCTACTCTGTTGCTGTTTGAAGTAACCTTCTTTGTTTAAAACCTTTTTATAAATCAATTTTGTAAGGAACTTCACAAGTCTCCTACTTCTCAATGTTGATATTTTTCTAATGTATACCTATTTATTTGTTGTAGAAATTTAATGTTACTATAATAAATTGTTTTACACATACCTACTATTAACTTTCATTCATTCGTCCATCATGAATTTCGTTGCTTATCTCAATAACCAATAATAAACTTAGTCGATAAAATAATTCAGTATTGAGATCTTGGAACAAGCGTTTGACGGAAGTATTAGCTGGGCCGCTCGCTCAATGATGCGCAAGCGCATAGGAAGCGTGTAGCAGTGATGCGCGCGCGCCGCCTCGCCTGCCGCCTTGACCGCGCCACTCAGCCGGCACGCTGAGTGATGACCGGTCATGGCAGACGCCATAATACACGGAAACCTATACTTTATAAAAACTGGGTCATACCATTGTTCCTCAATATAATTTGCACAATATAAGTGCTAATGTTTAGCTATAATTATGTAAGTGAATATAAATAAGTACAAGGCAGATTATATGGAACCTAAAACGATTCAGGAGCTCAAGCCTTCATAAGTTCTCTTTTAAAATGTTATCAAAATATAATGTTAAGATGTCACACGTAGCGCCATTTATGAGCCTAGAAGTGAAACCTGTCTTTTGTCTAAATTGTCTATGTATGAACGTCTTGAATAAATTAGTCTCTTCAAAACCGTCAACCGATATCTTGTATTAGGTTATGGGCCTCCATTACGCTTCCACTGCGCATTGCCTCTACGCATAGCACGTTTTCACTCTGGTGCATCATCAGTCCACTGCTGAGCAAAAGGATCTTCTCACACGAAGAAGGTTTGAACATTAATTAACACGCTACTCAAGGCGAATTGGCGATGTTCCTCACAATTTTTTCTGCACCATGTCAGTGGTGTCTTAACAACTCTTAGATAGTACATAAACGAAAAATTCACAATGGTCCCTACTTGTCAAGTATTGAACCTGCACCTTCATACATACGAAGCAGGCGCCTCAACCTCTCTGGACCACCACGACGTCATAACCCGGATGTTAGTTATAAATAAATCTGACTAGGGATTCCCAGGACTTCTATTAATATCAACAAAAACTAAATTTATTGTATTTGATTATATATGTACCTACATATAAGATTTAAATTGCAATGCAATCATAATCTAACCGCAACAAGCGTAGTTTAGTTTACTACAAAAAGTACAATCATGGATGATGATTTGTTTAATAATGATACGACCTATTACAATACCTAGGTTTTAACTTATTATCTGTCAAATTTTGTACTAGTTCTGTTGTTTTCCCTAAACTTTGTACCACACTAGAAACTTCTCTTGTTTGAGTTTACTTATGCACTTCATTTAGACCCGGAGACACAGAGTTGTTCCGTGCAAGATTCGAACCAACGACACGCTGGACGGCAACCAGTTCCCCAACCACTGTGCACACCTGTTCTGTGATGTTCACTATTACAGATACACATGTAACACTTACATCGTCTCGAATTCAGCCGGCGATAACTGCACTCATCAACATCAAAATAAAATTGAACGTAACTTTAGTTTCACGCAGGTTTTCTGTGAGGCCATGATATCACTCCGATCGAGCCAACCCATTCGCGCCGAAATAATTATGGCTCTTCCCTTGAAATTTCCAAGTCAACCAAAGTAATATGAGATTTTAGATTTTTCCAAGTCCCTGTTGCAATGATCATTACCTACAACAGAGATCCTCTGATTACTAAAAGAATGAACTAACGAAAATTGACTGGAGTAACTACAGCTTTGATGGCATATTGAATATGTTTTATATTAGGTATCAAGTTACCATTTTATTAACGTTTAATAGCTAATCTATCCACAAATAATCACCCACTTGACCATAACATTCAAGTTTAATGAAATCGACTAAAACGTATCTGAGTAAATTAAACTTTATCTTTGAACTTGAACGGAAAAATCTAACCGGCCGGTTTATTTAGCCAAGTGCAGTAAAACGCGTGCATAGTGGCCTTCACCTTTTACAATAATTCTGCTCGCATGGGTCTATAAGGAAGAAAAAATACAAATACATTCACTATTTCGCTTTATAAATCAAGTTGTGTTAACAAAATGGTTGAAATCCATTTATTTTTATATTAAAAACCGGCCGCCAGAGACGTTGCTAGTCGGTGCCTGTATGAGAACCGCGAATTATTTAAAAAAAGATTACAAAGCTAAATTTTATACTCATACAAATTAAGTTGAAATCCCGGAAAGTAATTAGTAACTTTTTTAACCACGAATCATAAATAAAAATTTGATGAGAAAATCGGATCCACAACGTAATCCTTTAATTTACAAAACAGGTTTACTTTGAATCAATCAATCGGCGCTTTAAGGAGAAAATCGGGCCACAACTTTCAACTCGATATTGGCGCCAAAATAATACAGAAACATATTTTTATTTGCTTTTTACAACCTGTACCTACTGGGGAGGGAATTTACTCTACTTTGAAGTTTTTAATACTTTTACTACACCAAAAGAGTATGTAAACAAATAACAAAACCTAAATTACCTCCGAATTAAACAAACACGTACTTAATATTATCTTAATGGTGTCATAGTTGAACTTAAACTTTCTGCTTTTTATCAACACTTTCTGTTAAATATATTAGAATTAAAGGCACCATTGACTCGCTTCTTATATTGTTAGAGGCAGACTCTGTGAAAACATGTCATTGTTTTCTTCACAACAAGCAACAAGTGCTCGTGTACCGTTGAGAACTTTAACACTATAACCGTTAACACAGACTTGGAAACAAGCCATTTACAGATTTCTTATTTTAGGAAAAAAAATCAAAAATATATTTAAACATCACTTTATACACAAGTGTAACTTCTTAAGCATTCACTCAGTAAAATTTACTTATATAAAATTACCGATGTCGTTTAAAAGTCTGGACCGGTCCTGTTAAAATTTTTCGCTCATCTCAGACGGTAGTGAGCACGATTCGAGCTCCATGTCTTGTGATTCCCAGTATTATGACCGAGACCGCGAGTACCTCGGCTCGCTGCTGTAGAAAGCTGATCAGCGCATATAAATCCACCTCACGCCACTCGCTACTACCATTGTCTCACTGATCGTCCTCTCAACTTCAAGTGTCATTTCAACTCCTCCTCCTGCATTGTTTCTATAAATATCGTACAAACAAGTTCAACAAACATTTATAATTCAACCTTTTCAACAGTTCAATTTGTATGAATTAGAAAAGTGCCAGTGGTGTAAAATAAAAATGGACGCGCAACAATTTCGGGAATTTGGCAAAGCGGCCATCGACCTCATGGCCGATTATGTTGAAAACATCAGAGATCAGTAAGTACCATTTTTTGGCGATGTTTGATGGCCCTAACCAGAGACAAGAATCTAAATTTAACTTATTAAAGACTACTTACTACGTAGCACCGTACATCAATTTTATAATAGTTATATCTAAATAGTGGTCAATGTCATTTAATCAAAACAATCGGACATTAAAAATAATATAAGTTGTTGCGCCCATAACAACATTTAATTCTTATTTCTTCAAATATTTTTTGATGTCTGTAACGACAATTTTTCACATTTAAGCAATACCTAACTGTAATAAATTGAATAATTCTACTCGTTGTGGACCTTAATAATTGAAAATCCGAGTTAATAGGATTTGAAGTTTTCCTATCGTAGGTTTCTATCGTCGGATTCTTTCATTTATTTTTTGTTCAAATAGGTTTATGAAAAAGTCTCTTGAATACATAATAATGTGCATAAAACTGATTTGATTAAAGCTGCAAAATATTATCATATATAAATGCTAAATACTCAATTTGCATAATCCATCAAAACGTACGCTTTAATTATGTATAAAACTAAACACATATAATATGTACCACATTACCTAAACAATCCAAACTATTTTTATCTATAAATTCGAAAGTAACTGTCCGTCTATCTTTTCTTCACGCCTTAACTACTGAACCGATTTCTGTGAAATTTGGTACAGACATCATTTGGAACTCGAGAAAGGATATAGATAGTTTTTGTACCAAAAGTCTACAGGAAGTCACTACGCCACGTGAACGAAGTCGAAGGGCATAAGCTAGTTTATGATAAAAATACAGCAAATGCCAATTAAATAAATTGAAAGAAACTTAGGTATTTTAAACACAAATAACAAAATGACTATTACGTAATATTCAAGATATAATTTATATTACTTATTTATTAAACGTAATAGATGGTGAATGGTTCAGTGTATAAGTTGATATAAACATCATCTTACTGCAGTTAACTTTTACCAAACCATGTTTTCTATACTTACTAAGATCATAAAGAGGTAAAATGTTTGAGTTTGTATGTTTGTAAGTTTGTATGTAGGGGGTAATCTTTGGAACCGCTGGTCAGATTGCCACAATTCTTTCACTGATAGATACTTACAATGTTCCTGAGTGCTATAGGCTATAAAACATCACACTACGATTAAATGGAGCCGAGCAGCGGGTGAAACTGCGCGAAAGTAGCTACAAATTAATAAATGGCCCGATGAACTGCTGTAACTTCGCTTTAGATTTGGCTGATGACATAAGTTTATCGCTGTGTTAAATATCTACTTAAAGAGCAGTTTCTACTTCAAGAGTTTTTGGTATTTTACTTACAATATATTCTCATTAGTTTCGTTTAAACCTTCCCTGGAATTCCGTGAATGTTTCAAGACCTAAAATGACCAAAATTTACCAAATTCGGGCCAACCGTTTCGGTGTATTAGCAAGAATTTCGAACAACAAATCATTTTTATATGATTTTTCAACATTTCTGTTTGAAAATATGCACTTCCAAATAGAAATCATAAAATTCTAAATTTATATTACCTATAATTTAATTATTTTGAAATTTGTAACCAAAATTAATACCTACCATAATAATGGTACTGGGGAATCGAACGTTAACTCGTGTAGCTCAAGTAGATACAAGAGAAAGAACTTGATATTCAGATTTTGAAAAAAAACAGGAGACGGTAATGCTTATGAAGCAAATAGTAAATACAATAATTTTTCCTTCATAATTCATTGTGTACTAGCGTCCGCCACCGGCTTCGCCCGCGTGCGGTGTTGATTAAAAGAAGCCTATAGCATATACATAGAATTTGTTATGGATCGTCTCATTTTTATGGGTATATCTCCAATGGGTAAATACACTATTACTTACTTATTCTCCGCTATCCGTCCGTCCATAGATAGAATGGTGCAGGTCTAACTAATAGGAAGGTGTACAAATATTACATAAAACCTATATTTTATTTTATACCGCGTTGCGTCGAGCGCGGCAACCGTTACACAGAAATAATCCTTATAGCATGATTCAGTGTTCACATGCGACGGCGCAATAGCTTATTATCCGAACTGCTAAGCTATCAGGAGGTACACGTGCTGAGTTAACGATTAAAGATAGACATATGTTGTAAATCAATTTTTTAGATAATTCTATGTAGAATATTTCCGTCATACATACATCATATCTATGTAACTTAAAAAAGGGAGTAACTTCTCCCGTTTTCCTAACATTTCCCTTCACTGATCTGCTCCTATTTTTTGTAGCTTGATGAAAAGTATCCTATAAGCTGCCCAAGAGTATAAAGAATAATTGTACCAAGTTTTGTTAAAATCCGTCCAGTAGTTTTTGTTTCTATAGGGAACATACAGACAGACAGTCAGACATAAATTTTACTGATTGCATTTTTAGCATCAGTATCGATCGCTTATCACCCCCTGATAGTTTTTTTGAATATATATTTAATGTTAAATATATATTTAATGTTAAATATATTTAATTGACTTCTCTACAGATTTATTATAAGTAATCTATCTATCTACTATCTAAGTAGATAGATAGATTTAGTAATGGCAATTATATTTAATTAATACGACGCACCACACTGCCATGCCTGATTCATCGGCTGATTCTGCAAGATAATCGCAAAAAAAAAACTATAGACACGAAACATTCCATCATTAAACAATTATTCCGCAGATTATGACATAAAAACACCAACGAGTAGGAACGTCTTCACAGATAAATTTTCCTTCCATTGTTCAACCAAATACAACTATGCATCTGCTTTGAATATTTCAAATTAGGACTTTACTTAACAGCACGAAATAAAACTAAATGGTCTTTTAGCGTGTTTAACAACCTATTTCATAATCGACAATTAATTATCAGAACTTCAAAAATATTCTAATTCTCTTATATGAGATTAATATGTGTTTTTAACGCAAAAGGTTATCCTAGCAATTATATTGAAATCAAAGAAAAAAATATTTTTGCTTAATAGCTCCAATTCAATTTGAGCTCTCTTCGACGGAACAAGCTATGAATAAGTAAGGTGTATATTTAACTACTAAGCATTTGGCAGGTATTTTTAAATGATTTTACATCTTCTTTTTGTTAGACGATGTAGGGTTTGTTTAAGCAAAAAGTTGATTCATTAGAAAGTTAGACAAACACAGAGTATGTATGTGTTATTCATTTTCGAGTACTCCATTACACTTAACCCATTTAGTCTAAAATTCAATTATTTTTTAATTTAATTACTTACAAATAATGAAAACTAAGACAGTCTATCAATGCCTTGTCTTGTTAAAGTTTTCAGGAATGTGAGACAATGATTACTGAATTTACATTTTAATGTATTTTTACAGAACAATATACCTAACGACTTAATAAATATGTTATCTTTTCAATTGCAGTGACGTCCTTCCTTCTGTTGAGCCTGGTTACCTGATAAATGCCTTACCTCAGGATGCTCCCGAGCAACCAGAAGATTGGAAAGACATCCTTAAAGACTTCAATCAAACCATTATGCCTGGTGTAAGTATATAATTAAAATTTCCTCAATCAACTGCCATTGATTGATTTATTTAGGTCTAGGGCAATTGCCCTTAGTAATTAGTCAGGGTCAATACGGAAGACAATGGCAAGTCGTCATGTAAATTAAAACCTTAAATTGTTTTGATCAGCTGTTCTAATATAAATTAGAAGGATAAAAATCCTACTAATATTATAAATGTGAAAGTTTATGAGAATTTATGGATGAACGTTTGTATCTAGGTAGTCGATACTCAGCAAGAAAGTAGCCTTAGCGTTAAAGGCTACTTTTTATTAACATACCACGTGGACTAAGCTGCGGGCGAAAGCTAGTGCATAAGATATGTATGTAGATATCCTTTCTTAACACGAATTACTCAAAATTAATTATAAAAAACTCGTTTTTTTTATTTATGACACATACAATGATGTAGATATCTTTTGTACAAGCCTGAGAAAAGCTAGAACCATGATAAGTGGAGATTTTTTTAATAACTAATTTATGTTTTTTCAAATACATTCAACATCATTTTTATATATTTTTCTTGCAGTGTGCCTACTGTTTTATTATATTTACAATTTTATTTAGGTCTTAGTTGTCAACTATTCTGGCACTATTCGTGTGAATCTGTAAGTGGCTCAATGTCACTATTTTTCTGCTAAATTGTATAATGTAGCTGTTGATTCACCATTTATTAAATAAATAAATAAATACAAATCGGAAGAAAATGTCGCAAATTACAATTCTTCAAAGTCTTATCAGAATGACAATACAGTCATAAATATACATACTAGACTATCCATTGTCATTATTCTCCTAAGACTTCGCAATAACATATTTGTAATGCAACATGCAACAATGTTTCATAATAATATTCTTCTAGATTACGCACTGGCAGTCCCCACAGTTCCACGCGTTTTACCCGACCGGTTCATCTTATGCAAGCATCGTTGGAAACATATTGGGTGATGGCCTGTCTGTCATTGGACTGAGCTGGGTAAGTTATAAATAAGTTATAAAATTGCATTTGGGCTAAACATTCCTAAGAAGATAGGATAATTGAATTCACCTTGACGGTAACGAAGCACAGGATTTTTTTATGAAAAACTAGCGGCTCGCCCCCGCTTCGCACGGGTCCAACTATCTCGCTATCAAAGGGTCACTTTTTCCCAACTTTCCCCTCTATTTTTCTAATATTTTCTTTTAAAAGAACCTTCTCCGGACAATAACAAACACAACAAAAAAAGAATTAGCAAAATTGGTCCAGGCGTTGTTGAGTATATAAGATATAGATAAGGAGACCACTCGCCGCGCCTTCTCGCTGCAGGGCAGGAGTGGCGCATTTGACGAAGCAAATTCAATAATTATGATAGTTATTACATTAGTGAAAAGATATTGAACATTTAGTCATGGATTTATGTACATTAATGTATTGAACGCACAGGTGCGTCGAGGGCACACAGAATAGCGTAAGGAAACGCACATACGCGTCAGGGGCACTGAATGTGTTAATTCGAATTTATCTTTTTAGCTGTCAAGTCCAGCATGCACTGAGCTCGAGGTTCTAACTTTGAACTGGTTGGGAAAGCTGCTTGGTCTGCCTGAAGAATTCCTGCATTGTTCCAGTGGGCCTGGTGGGGGCATTATTCAGGTAAATTCTATTTCTATTCTATTATATTATCTAATTCTTAAGTAAATAAGGATTAAAATATGTTATGGTATTAAATAAAAATAAAGAGTGTCAATATTTAATTTTTTTTAAATATTCCATTTGTCATTCAATATTTTGGTAATTTGTAAGATTAGTGAATCAGAATTGGAAGTTACTGAAAAAAAACTTATAATTATTTGATAAAGTAGTGTACGGAATATTACCCGAATCTCAATAGAAATTATGTTTGTATTATGAATAATAACACATTTTTGTCTTAACTCTACAGGGCTCCGCAAGTGAGGCGACGTTAGTGGCACTCCTAGCGGCCAAAGATAAAACTGTACGAAGGATCACCAAAACTGATCCAACTCTGGATGAAGACTATATTAAACCAAAATTAGTAGCTTATACATCTGATCAATGCAACTCTTCAGTAGAGAAAGGTGGATTATTGGCATCTATGAAAATGCGTCTCCTTAAAACGGACAACGACGGTAGACTTCGTGGAGAAACCCTCAAAAATGCATTTGAAGAGGACAAAGCTCAAGGTCTGATACCGTGTTGTGTCATTGCAAACCTTGGTACCACCGGAACCTGCGCGTTTGACCCATTATACGAACTAGGGCCAGTGTGCAACGAAGCAGACGTGTGGCTCCACGTGGATGCCGCCTACGCAGGAGCAGCATTCATGTGTCCCGAATACAGGCACTTGATGAGGGGCATCGAATTGTCCGATTCTATTGACATAAACGCACACAAATGGATGCCTGTTACTTTTGATTGTTCTGCAATGTGGCTCAAAAATGGATATGACCTTGTAAGGGCGTTCAACGTTCAGAGGATTTATTTGGACGATATCAAGACAGAAAACAAGATTCCTGACTATCGACACTGGCAGATACCTCTTGGTCGCAGATTTAGAGCTCTTAAATTGTGGACCACTATGAGGATTTATGGCGCAGAAGGTCTTAGGAAACATGTGAGAGATCACATAACTCTGGCCCAATATTTTGCTAAATTGGTACGCACTGACGACAGGTTTTTGGTTGAGCCAGAGCAATCTATGGGACTAGTGTGCTTCAGGTTAAAGGAAGGAGATATTATGACGAAAAAACTACTAGAGAATATAACTGACAAGAAAAAGCTTTACATGGTGGCTGGTAGTTACAATGGCAGGTATATGATTAGATTTGTAATCTGCTCTCGTTTGACGAAGAAAGAAGACGTGGACTTTGCTTGGAATCATATTAAAGGAGAAGCAGACTTGCTTTGTTCAGACAAAGTACACACGAAAGCACAAATACCGGCAATCGATCAAATAGTGTTGAGAGAGATATGTGAGAAGTCTAAATAGAATAAACATTTCACCTTAAGTGCAGTACGGGAGATATTGTATACGAAATATGTGGTTGAGTTTAATGTCATTGTACTTATTTGGTGTCTAGTGTTCGGAGGGAAACTTAGTTTAATGTGATATAGGGATTGACGTTGAATCAAGTCGTAGTATTAGGAATTAATTACATTTGTACTTAGGAATAGAATAAGGTTGCCTATTGTTAATGAAACGCTTGTGATCTGGCCTTTGAAATGCCATTAAAGATCTATTAGACATAATTAAATAAAAAACCGTATGACAACTACATGTTTTATTATGAACTTAAAAAACTATCATTGGCGTCATGTGTATTTGTGTACCACTACTAACTACTACTATTTAAATGCAACTACATGTATGACTAACGCAGATGCCGTAAGTGTAACCTTTTGGTAGACAATGCTCCTGGCAAACAGCGTCCTCGTTTGCTTCTTCAAAATCGCACGAAACGCGCCCCGGGATCTTTGGCTCTGAAATTTCAAATATACATTCGTTAAACGATGGAGTATAAGGCTTCAACATATACCTGTATGAACACAGAGAACATGAATCCAATAGTCTTGATGTTTCCTTTACCCAAAATATTGGCTGATTACATCATTCTAATTGTCAACTCTATTCATAAATGCAAGTCATTGCACAAAGATATTTCATTTAAAAAAAGAACTATACTAAAAACCCAATTTCCCGTATTCCTATACTTAGGCAGTTCATTTAAGACACTTATTTAATTTAATACAATTATTACAGTAACACAAACGGTAACCATGAAAACTTCCGGGTAAGAGGTTTGGCGCACGCTTCGTCATAGTTTTCGATGATTACAACATATTCGTACCTATGTAACATCATCTAAATATAATAATGTGAAGACTTTTTACAAAAAAAAAACAGTTTGCAGTTGGTATTCGAGTACAAAGTACAGTACAGAACCTCACATTTCGCAAATCGCTTTGTTTACTCGTAACAAATTAGAACACTGCTATCTATAATCCGACTAAATTAATAAATCAAATGCGTAAAATTATGGCGTACCTGGCGTTGTGGTAGCTTCTATTTTCAATTTCGCGTCCAAGTCTTCATTGTGGATGGGGCCCAGGCTCTGTTCCTCAACAACAGAACTGTCTCTCGGGTTCGGCTTTCCAGCAACGGCATGTATCAGACAAGCGGTAACCGCAATTAGCAGAAACACATTTATTACCTTAACACCCATTATTACTTTGTGCGGCAATTATTGATACAAGGAAATAAACGTAGTTATTGTTAAACAGCTAATTAACGAATGAACGACGTATTACGGCACAAAAATAGACGAACACAATGTGATGAAAGGTCAACAGAAGCGGCCTTATATATTGTGCATTCAAGCTGTCAGTGGACAAGTCAATACGAACGTAGGTACACACACACACTACCCGCTCGGTACTGCAATGACTAATGCATTGATTACTGCTGTGGTCACATTGTTTCGACGAAATTAATCATAGACAGAAGTTTGTTTCTCCTTATTTAGATTACTTAGAAATTGTTTATATTGCGCCGTTCGAACAAAAACAAAAATTAAAACTACCTTTGGAATACATACATTGTTTGATATTAATAATTTGGAATCCAAGTAAACCTAAGTTTATTAACCTACCGATTACCGTATCAATTAGCTTCTATTTCTTTGTAAGGTATTAAGGTATCCTAATGTCTCAAACTTAATCGAATCTAAGTACCTAATGTCTCAAACTTTGTCGATTAATTAATTGACAAAGCATTGATTAAAGTAAGATCCAAGTCCAACCAGGGTTGCAGACGCAAGCGGTGATTTTTGGTCAGTAAGTCAGTGACACCTCCTCTGCGAATTCACTGGACGATATTCTACTCTCAAAACAAAGATAATCAAAACAACTATCCTTCTTAACTTTATACTATTTTTTTTTCTTTCGTGATGCTAATAGGCATAATACCTTTGTAACTTTTTAAATTATCTGCTCTTTGGCAAGACTGCATCGCCCTCCACGCGATCGGCGCACAATGGCAAAGAATTGCATTTAATACCTATTTCAATTCCCGGACTATTATTCAATTACTAACAATCTATAGATACGAAGGCATGAATTCAATCTTATATGTGATAGGTGCATGCTCGCCTAGTGCGGATTAACAAACAACCGTTTTGCGAGCTACCCGTGCAAAATAACAATTCGTCATAATATTTATGCATTTTAAGATGAGTTCAACGACCTTCCTTCAAGCTCGCTTTGAAACCAGTTTTATAAAAATAGCAGACGGGTAACTAATTTTTAGAACGTGTTATTTTTTAATAACTTTCGTAAAACATTAGTTGGTATTGGTAAATTGTTGCTTGATTTAAATTAGGTAAATTATGGGTAAGTATTTTTATGAATTTCTTACGTGCAAGTATTTACTTATAAACCTACATATAGGTAGCGTCCGGTCCGGAGTACGAAAAGGAACGAGGTGATTTTTAGTTAGTAAGAGTCTGACCCATGTCGAAAGAAGTCATTTGATGATTTTCTGCACAGTTACCGCGCTGGCTGGGCAACCGGCTATCGCACAAAATGTCGTTTCGTGTGGCATGTTCGATTCCCGCACGGAAAGCTTCTTTGTGTGTTCTTGGTTGTCTGCCGGGTCCAGGAGTATCTATGTGTATGTGAATTTGTATGTTTGTAAATTTAAATGCACCTATGTACAACACAACCATGAGAAAATGCTAGTGTGGGACAAAGTTTTTTTACCTAACTTCTAATATGGAAAACACATATTTTGTAGTATAAATTATGACTAAACTAGCTTTTGCCCACGGCTCCGTTCGCGTGGAATAGTAACTTCCTGCAGATTTTTTTATAAAAACTATCCTATGTCCTCCTCGAGTTCCAAAATATGTCCGTACCAAATTTCACAGAAATCGGTTCAGTAGGACGAGTTTAGGCGCGAAGAAAAGACAGACAGGCAGAGTTACTTTCGCGTTTATAACATTAGTTTGGACTTCCACTTTGGACTGCACTGTCGGCGTGGTGGCAGGGCGTGACGCGTCGCGATTTCGATTCCCGCTACAGTGACGGAACGGAACAACTCTTTGTGGATCAACAAATTGTTGTTCCAGGTCAGTGTGTGACGTGTATGTGAAATTATATGTTTGTACGATATCCACGATATAGGAGAAAATGCTAGTGTGGGGCAAAGTTTAAAGAAAGTGTAAAAAAGTGTATTTATAAAATAAATTATTTCCTGATGCCTGACAGCCTGAGTGGGCGGCACAGGTTGCTACTTGTCGCAACACCAGAAATGTAACAAATGCGTTGCCGACCTCTTTAGAATAAGGAGTTACGTACGGGGATCATACCGGCACAGAGCAGGAGAAGGAACAGGGGGGTTTTTAGTCAGTAAGAGTCTGACACTCCCTCCTGCCCGGCCCTGGGCGGGAGAAGTCATTTGATGATTTTCCCCTCACAAAAAAAAAACCGTACGGGGATCAGGTTTGCAACCTACCTACAAATCCGAAGACGGGTGGGCAATCCTCATAAATGAGAGGAGCCAACTCATTTAACAGGCGCATCTGAAGGAGACGACGACGGGACCACTTGGTCACTTACCTACACTGATATAAGTTAGCAAAGGAGGGTAGGGAGATATAGAAAATAGATAGACGTAGGATAGTTTCTGATCAGAAGATTTACATTTGTACCTAGGCATTAAACCTCCCGAGCGTAGGTAGCAGTTATGGCGTTCAGCCGGGGTTGCGGCCCCGGCTGAACGCCATAACTGCTACCTAAGCTGCCGTAAGCGCAATGAGGCACCGCGACCTCGGCCCAGAGCAGGAGAAGGAACGGTCTTACTGACTAAAACCCCCCTTTTAGTCAGTAAGAGTCTGACACTCCCTCCCGCCCGGCCCGGGTGGGGGAAGTCATTTGATAATTCTCCTCTCACAAAAAAAGGCATTAAACCTTCGTGTAGGTAGTTTTTATGTTGAATAAACAACAAAAATATAAATAGATATGTACCTATTAATTTAGTAATACAACACCCACCAAATTAAGAGAAATCAGCAGGCAGGTAATATTTGTCATGCTATGAAATCATGCTTATGAAAAGTACCTAATGAAGTTGAAATCTGAAATGCATAAATACTTCAATAACAAAATAAGGTAGGTATTGCTTACATTTATTTAACATATAAAGCGCAATTTTCTGAGTAAGACTTAGATAATGTAGGTGGGTATGTACCTACTTTCCTGGTACCTACGGTAGTTGGTAGTAGGCACAGACACATATTTAATCAGCTTCTAAAATTGGAATTGAGAACTTATCACATTTTGAAATATAAATTAGTACCTAGGTACGAAGTTTATGTGCATGCTACTGACATCATAGTTAAATTAGCACACTATTAAAATAAGGCAGAGTAGACAACTACATAATTATTATTATGGACTTCATATACGAAGCAAATAAAAAAAAATAAGTACGGATTTTGTTTGTTTTCATAGAATAGATTATTAGATAATAACCATTCCTTCAAATTGATAAAAACTTTCTTCAACCTAGTGATTCAAAAAACAATAAGTATTTCAAAATAACTTTTCTAGCTAATTTAAAAAATATAGGTATGAAAGTATTAGATACTAGCTACTCTCGCGCGGTTTCACCCGCTGCTCGGCTCCATTTAATCGTAGCGTGATGTTTTATAGCCTATAGCACTCAGCGACATTGTAGCTACCTATCAGTGAAAGAATTTTGGCAATCCGACCAGCGGTTACAAAGATTACGACCTACATACAAACTTAAAAATTTTACCTTTTTATAATATTAGTGTAGATGACATCATTTGATGCGATTTTATAAAAATAAATATAATTTTTGACATTTGAATAAAAGTACTGAATTTGACTAGTCGGAAACTACTAGAATGCATTGCCTAAGGCAGATCTAGATTTCACGTGACTACTTAACTAGCGAAGAGTGTGAACTTACTCATGACTCCAGTACCTACAGTATCTACCTATAATGCACCTCTAAACTACGCTTCGAGAAATATAAAAGAATAAAAGACAAGGCATTTTATTATTAAAGTAGGTAGGTACCTACCTACAGTACCCAACAAATAAACAATACACTCTGTGGTAACTTTTAACCGTAACTGAATTTGGGTAAACACTTATTTGTGTACTTAACACTAATTAGGTACTATGGTGTCGTGGCTTTTAGGTCATGAGACGTGTGATAACAACGTTAATTATATGAAATAATGAATTTATTTTTGCAAATAGGCCATAGAAGGGCACTTTTACACGTCAATTTATATGTGAAAAACTAGATGAAGCAAATATAAGTAGGGACTTTTTTTGAAGGCAGAAAGTCATCGTATGAATCCTACAGCCCAGGGTTAGGCGAGAAGGATCCGCGCAAGGTATGTCTGTTATCCACTTAACCTGCAACATCAGCCTACTGCTAAGAATCTTAAAGCTTCTAACAAATACGTAAAGGATTTTTTCCTAACTTGAAAACCGAAAATCCCATGGATCGTGATAGTTAATTACATACTTTAATTAAATAACGATGTCAGTTAAATAGCACACCTAGCCGTTAATTGCTTGCCTATCGCTGTGACCTCAACCTCCAATGGCCAAGGTCGTATTACTAATTCCCACAATATTTTATCGTGGTACCTATATGTAAATATTGGTCAGTAAGTATCAATTCGATTATTGAAAACTAAGCTATTCGCCGGCTAGGCTACTTCGATAGGTCATAGCATGTTTTATAGCTTAGGAACTAGCGACCCGCTCCGGCTTCGCACGGGTGTAATGCTGATAATAGATTTCTAAATCCACTATTTAATGGAATCATCCATTAAGTAGTTATACATAAAAACCATTCCCTTCAATCACTATCTATTGGACACAGAAATTGGGTTTGTTTTATACAATACTATGTAGTTTTGGTCTTTTTCGATAAATGGACTATCGAACACAAGCTTTCCCTAGAAGTTGTATATCAGTGTAAACAAGTTGGGCTGTGAACGGACAATCTATTGCAGTGCAACATTTTACGGGTTTTCAGTACGTAACTATACTTTGTGTGTGATCTACGTTCTGGTTGTTTTAAGTCAGAGGACTCTAGAATTAGTTCTCCAGAACTTTTTTATAAAATTTAAACAACATACATAATGTAAAGGCACACAAGACCAACAAGAAAATCCTATCGTATAAAAAACACAAAATTATTTTCATTTCCCTTTAATCTAAAAATATCTCTTAAGAACTAGACATTTAAAATATTAATATGTAACTTAATCAAAGATGTCGTCGTATGTGAGAAGTGTCCGCTTAGCGTCTTTAGGTGCTGGTGGGTTACGGGGAGAGGGTGACGGTGTCCAACCCGGCGCCTGCGTCGGTGGTCGGCCGCGCGCTATTGAAATACGCCATCCGTCCTCCAAACCATCCAATGACGTCAGAGCTTGTGATGCGATCTCTGGTGTTTCAAATGACAGGAATGCTCTGAAAAATTTACATGTATAGATACACATTAGATATATTATATTATATTAACCAGTAAACTTTTGAATATAAGGCTTAGAATTTTTTGAAATGTTGATGTAGTTTGTTAGTCAAGTGGCTACTAGAAATTAGCATTTGACTCATAGGTTTGTCGTATTACAGATGGTTTTTTTGAATGCTCTTGAGCCCATACTCTATTTCATTATTATCAATGTTTTTCTTTACTCTATTTTGTGTAGAATATGGAATTGTGTTACTTTTTATAATAACTTCGACTGTGGGTTAGTTACATTCGATGAGTTTAATAACTCTAAAAAGGAGGATAGTTATGACACCCCCACATACAGTAAATTAATTGAAAATAAAGACTAGCCGCAACAGCTGAGTGATACACACTCCGCACATTAATAAGAGTCCCATTGTGACTTGGAACTAGTAGAGAACATTTCTCAGTTACTTCATTTGACTAAGTTGTTATATTATATCCAATTAATTTAAAAGGTTCTTACATTTTACCTTTCAATCATATTAATTAGAGACACAATAGTAAGACAATAGGTGCATGAACACCGGCTTTTGCTTGGGGTTTGATTTATTAAATGTACATATTTATATATAATTACTATAATTTTCCTATAACTTTAATAAAACTAAGATGAGCAAGAGCTTTCTTACAAAATAAAACTTTCACTTACTTATCATCATCAGGTTCTTGTGTGAATGAGAAAGGTTCATAAGTGGCTAGCCTTCTTCTGATAGTTTCCTCTGAGATGCGTGCACCTACCACCAGGAGTACTGAACTCCTGTTTCCACTAGGCGGTGGTGGGCCTGGTGTCTCACTGCCAGCTGGTTGAGGGGTGCGTGGTGACTTCTCATCTCGAGGACTGAGAAGACAAAATAAAAAATATAGATGATAATATTAATGGGATTTGAAAGATAAAGTTTAAAGATGTCATGAAAACACATATCACAGTGTCAACACCACTGAAAATTAATTATTAAAGGTACTCTGAAATTAGTCAATGTCAAAATTTTATTTGAAATGTCAAAATATTTGTATGATTTCTAAATAATATTTGTGAACTAAAGATAGCTTTTTCTGTAAATATCTAAATAGGGATATAATGTGTGATCATCTTAGGAAACTGTAATATAACTCTTAGTGGAAACATAATGTTTTCTTCATTGAACAACCATATAGAGGAAAAAAGGAAATTTTATTAATAACAAAACTTGTTATTCTGTTTTGGCAATAGATATGTCATACTATTCTTGTAGACAGACTTACTTCTCTCTAGCAGTCACAAATGAGTCATAAAGGTACTTCACACGGGGAGTCTGCTTCTCTTCAGGAGGTGGAGGTTCTTGAGAAGCACTAAATGGTTGGTAAGACGCGACACCTCCTGCAGCACTAGCAGATCCACTCAGCTTCCTTTCTCTACCTGAAATAATTAGGTACAACTTCAATTTATATAGTTTTATTACGAATTGGTTTATCGCTTTTTATGTGGTTCTTTTAAGTTGACCGCAATTTCACAAACAAGTTATACGCACTGAACGCACCTGCCCTAGGGCGCTTGAACGTAGCATTTTGAGGCTGTGGTGGTGGACTTTTGATAGCTTGAATAGCTCCACTTTTAATCAACTTGCGTGCAATCTCACGAGCATCTCGTGCTTCAGTAGGCCGCTTTGGTAATATTGGCTTTTCAGGTTCTTGTTTTGGCGCCTTTAATGCCTGCAAAGCCTTCTTTTTCTTTTTTAACTTTTGATATTTAGCTTGTAGCATTAACTCTTCTTCAGTTAAATTAGAGGGGAAATGTAAATAAACCATTATAATCACAAACAATTACGTATAGTTCGTGAATTTTTGTATTTATCATAAAATGTCAAAGAGGACATTGACACTTTGACAGTCTCAATCTGTCACATTTTTTTTTTTTGAGTTTGTGGCCTGGATTTATACAAGTCCTTTAAGCCAATTTCAATCTGTCAATAAGGACACTGACAAAAAGAATATATGAAGAATAATAAACTAGTACATTAATTCATGCATTAAAAAATGTTTGCGATATATTATTATTTCTAGCGATTATCACTTTAAAACAAGCCACAACATTTCGAGCTGCTAAATGTAAGTAACAGACACAGGGCCAGTTTTTAATCAATGTTGCCATGTTACGTGAATTGCTAACACCTCTTTGCCTCTGTTTTGTCATGTGTTTGTGACAGCATGACAGATTGACAGCACAGAAGTCAACTCATTGACATTTGTCAGTATATTGTTATAAAATCGATTAAAAAATTGCAAAATGATTCGTTTATCTAAAAATATTATACCTACGGTAACAAAAACATTATTAAGAAGAACTAATCTGTCCCAAAAGCCAAGTATATTGGTGTTTTTCCACGGACAAAGGTTACTTTCAGATACAAGTAAGTAAACAAAACAAAAAGTTTTCCGACAATTTTACAGGAATTTATTCCGCACAATTTCATTGGAATATAATTGTGTGCATATAAGTTTCGCAGTCAGTAAACTTTTCATGAGATGCTAAGTATTTTATATAATTTCCTAACAATTTCTCTAATAGCGACACAATCGTTTTGATACCAATTAAACCGAAACGGTCGCGTGGTGTCGTAATTGTTATGCACATACCAATAACCAATAAGATAAATATACGTGAACACTGTTTTTGTGATAATTTAAATATGCTAATTAAAATCAAGGATTCTTGTAACCTCAATATTGTATTATTGTTTCAGCTGCATCAGGCAAATTTTCTGTTCAACATGAAGACTTTGGGCGACCATTATATTTCGATGCTCAAGCCACAACACCTATTGTATGTTACCATTACCATTTTATGTATAAGAATCATTTTGAACGAAACATTATTGATTGATAAAAATTTTTGTTTAAGGATCCACGAGTTCTTGATGCCATGTTACCATACCTCGTAAGTTATCATGGTAATCCACACTCCAGGACCCATGCCTATGGATGGGAGAGTGAAGCAGCAGTTGAGAAAGCCAGAGAGCAAGTGGCAGATTTAATTGGAGCTGATCCAAAAGAAATAATATTCACATCAGGAGCAACAGAGTCTAATAACATATCAGTTAAAGGAGTAGCTAGATTCTATGGAGCAAGGAAGAAACATGTTGTTACCACACAAATTGTAAGTGTTTAGATGATGTTACTTAAAGTAACTGCAAAATCTTAAGTTAATATACTTCTCAAACAAAATAGTGATAAAAATAGTTTTAATGTAATGTAAATTTCAGGAACATAAATGTGTGTTGGACTCATGCAGAGCATTGGAAGGTGAAGGTTTCAAAATCACATATTTGCCTGTAAAGGAAAATGGAATAATTGATATGAATGAATTGGAAAAAGCTCTCACTCCAGAAACTAGTTTAGTTTCTATCATGACTGTCAACAATGAAATAGGTAAATGCAGTTTTTAATATTACTCTTTATGTATTTGGTCAGTTTATTGTGGTTGGAATCTCTCCAGCTAGACTTGTCATTAATTTAAAATTTATATAGTCCAGAATTTTAATGTTGATTGCATGCCATAGTATATTTACATAGAATATGTAGATTCGGACTGCTGTTTCCAAATATTTAATATCAATCTTCCTGTTTATTATGGTGTAATGGATATAAAATAATGTATTTCTTTCAGGTGTTATGCAACCTATTGCAGAAATAGGTGCATTGTGCAAAAGCAAAAAAGTATATTTTCATACTGATGCAGCCCAAGCATTAGGAAAAGTACCCATTGATGTCAACAAGATGAACATTGATTTGATGTCCATTTCGGGACATAAAGTATATGGGCCAAAAGGTGTTGGCGCATTGTACATACGGCGGAGGCCTAGAGTGCGAGTTGAGCCCATTCAAAGCGGAGGTGGACAAGAAAGAGGAATGCGCAGTGGAACAGTTCCAACCCCACTTGTTGTAGGACTTGGTAATACTTTTTTTTTTTTTTTTTTTTTTTTTTGGTAATACTTAAAATGTTAATATATTCCGTACAATGTCTAAAACTATGGTCATTCAATAATTTGCATAACAAATTGTGTTGTAGGTGCAGCATGTGATATAGCAAAGCGAGAAATGGCATATGATCATGCATGGATGGAAAAGTTGTCACAGAGATTCTTAGACAAGATCTATTCAAAACTAACTCATGTCATTAGGAATGGAGATGCAGAAAAAACATACCCTGGCTGTATCAACTTGTCTTTCGCTTACGTAGAAGGTAATATAGATAAGATTATTTAAACTGGTAATGGCAATTAAAAAGTAATAAAATAAAAGTGTTATCAGTATTGTTTATAAAAATATTTACATTGAATAAGGTCAACTGTTCATGTTGGTTTAACTTTTAGGTGAATCATTGCTAATGGCTCTAAAGGATATTGCGTTATCAAGTGGTTCTGCTTGTACTTCGGCTTCATTAGAACCATCATATGTATTGCGCGCAATTGGAACAGACGAAGACTTGGCACACAGTTCTATCAGGTAACCACCACTTTTCTACAGAGTCTTTATCTTTCAAAAGATGAAATATTATTATTGGGGTCTTAACTGGTTTAACTTAACTGAACAGTCAGCATTAAACATAATAATAAAGGGACATTCAGGTTACTTAATTACAGAGATGCAATCAAACCACCAAAATATTTTAGTACATTATATTTATGTATTAAATTTTTCTCATAATGTCTATTATTACTAAAGTATGAGGAAACTACTCCTTTTTTTTATTTTTGAGGGAAAAGTCATCGAATGACTTCTCCCGCCTAGGGCCGGCCGGAAGGTTGTCTTACTGACTAAAATCCCCCGTTCCTTCTCCTGCTCTGGGCCGAGGTGGCCTGCTCTCCTTTTTATATTGAGCATGAAGTCATTATGTTGTTTTTTTCAACTATGTATTTCCAATCTAAGACGTATCAAGCATGACTGTTAAATTTTACAGATTTGGATTTGGAAGATTTACAACAATTGAGGAAGTAGATTACACAGCTGACAAAACGATCAAACACGTAGAACGCCTAAGAGAAATGAGCCCTCTCTGGGAGATGGTACAAGAAGGAGTAGACATCAAAACAATTCAATGGTCACAGCACTAAAATATTATTTAGTAATTGTATAAAAGTTTCTATTCCGTGATTAGATTTAGGTAACTATGACAGGATGTAAGGAAAAGATCTGGTGATTATAATGAAATGTTGGTTAATCATATGTGTGGAAAGTAATTATGTAAATGTTGCAATGACTGTCTTGGTAAGAAATGTATAATGTTACAACCATAATGTCATGTTGTTAGTCTGTTGTATTAAATATTATTTTACAATAACAAAGAGTAACTATAACACAGCTTTGTTTCTTTGACCTCAATTAACAGTAATAAAATTAAGTTTGAAAAATTAGATATTGTGTTATCATTTGTTTTTTATTTTGTTTCTGTAATTAGTTTTGTATAATTTAATGTATATGAATTAAGAATTTTGCAACTAGCTTGCAATAAGTAAAAAATACTCTTTGACCTTGACCTTTAAAACAAGTATACTGATTGCACAATATCTTCCAAATAATATGAAAGGTGTGATTCACTGATAAAGAACAAGTTTCCTTTGCTGTTCCATCTTAAATGTTGCATAGGGCTCTAAAATGTATTAAAGAAAATATGATATTATTATGTTATAATGCACATTGTATAAAAATAAAGACAGAATAGATTATATGAAGTCAATGTTTAATTCCAATATAGTGTAATACATAGAAAACCACTTATTTTTGTTAAATGTTAAATAAAGTACATTAAAAAGTTAGAATTTATTATTTCACTATAGTCTTTACAGGGATTGTGAGCAATAATATGAATTGAATAGGCCAAAATAAGTATAAAAATAAATATTTAAACTATTGAAGTGAATACATGAATTGCATTAGCACACCCACTGAAAATAACCATACATCATTGACATATACATTTTTATACATATTATACACTTGGCTCGGAATGATCAACCTAATACTGTTAGGCCATTTCATTTTAATACTGAAGTGTAATTGATAAATTAACAATGATACAAATATTGCTAAGTCAAATTATAAAGTAATAATTGTACAAAAGAAGATTCCTAGATTAATTATAATTGTCAGCAATAGAGATTCTGTAAACAAAAACTTCACCCTAATTCTAATCCTATAGACACATATTTAAAGCATAATTTATGATTTATATTATGCAAATAACTATAATACACTTATCAACACAAATTAAGTTAATTAAAGCAACAAATTGATTGATTCAACAACTACATGATGGCTCATCTACTGGGTCAGGATTTGATATCTTGAAACTGTTGTGGTCCAAGGTTTGCAATTCAATTCTTGATCTATTAGACTCTACCAGTTGCATTGCAATATCTGTAAACATTTCTTCAATACCTGTTCCAGTTTTACATGAAGTTTTATAAGTGGTGCTGATAAGATTGTGGCACTGTTCACTGCAATAAAAAATCTATGTCAAATTCTGATGCATAGGTACAACAAATAAATAAAACTTATAGAACTAAGAATCAAGCAAGTCACCTACCAAAAAGTTTCTATGTCTGCGTCAGTAACTTGCGGAGAAGAACCTTCCAAATCTGATTTATTTCCACACAGGAATATTTTTGCATTCTCTGCGTAAGTCACAATATCTAACAAATGTTGACTCAGAACATGAAATGATGATGCATTATCAAGAGAAAATACAAGAATTGCTGCCTCAGCAAACTTGTAATAGCTTGAAGTGACTGAAGCAATTCTTTCCATGCCTCCAGTGTCCCAAAGTTGTAACTGAAATCAAGTATAGGACATAAATAAACAATAACAAAGATAACAAAACATTATTAGGATAACTGATGGTGAATAAACCACTTAATTACCTTAACAGTTTTGTCTGTGAGTTGATATGGCTTTTCAAAGTGATCCAGTCCTAAAGTTGAACGTCTATCCGAGTTAGGAACAAATGTATTGTTAATAAATCGACGAAAAATCGAACTTTTTCCGACACCATATTCACCACACAATATCACTTTCAGTACAGGGGTTTTAACCATAGCCATTTTTGAATTATTAATTAACAAAAATAATTCTTCAAGGCTAGAAGTACCTAAAACCTAAATGTCGCTGCGTTTTATCAAGCAGAACTAATTAATTAATTCATTTATAATACACAGCTGCACAATATTCCGCTCACACCCATTTTGGTTGACATAACATTTAATAGAGATGAGAAAATGTTTGTTTAGTAGGTATCGATAAATAAATAAATACCTACGATTTGAGTATACAATAATAAGATAAACTTGGATTATCTAACCATCGATTTTCTCATACATGGCAGCAATGAAATGATATTATCGGTAAAATAACTGTGAATAAATGCTAGAATGCAAACATGAACATAATACATTAGTATACAACAGTTAAATAATATGAATCCGGTATATTTAAAATATCTTTGTTTACGGAAATGAATTGATCACTTAATCAGACAATAATGAATCACGATTGTTTATAACTTGCTGTTACAATAAATAAAATTTGACTGATGAAAATTAAATTAATAGTTCGAATCGAATGTTACGAGAACAACAGACTCTAAACTATATCAAGTTCTCAATCTTGTACCGGTTGTGTCTGTCCAATCTAAAACAAGAAACCTTATAAGAGTAATAAAACCAATTTCGTTTAATTAAGTTAATTCCACCTAATTCATTCGACCACGATCACTATAAATATAAATAAAGTTAAAAAATAAAAACACGTAACACCTTGTTCTGATAAAGGTGTGGGTAGAGGTACCTATTATACAATTGTACCTATTGTACCTATTTTTGGAACTTTGAATGATTGCCTGGGTCACAGCACAAGTCTCATGTAAATAGTGTCTACACAGACGTATAAAAGAGTAAAGACATAATATTTATTGCTTTATTTTAAATAAAGCAATAAATATAATCTGTTTATAGAGGATATTGGCACATATTCATATATTAAATATATGAATATGTGCCAATATCCTCTATTTTTATTCTATCTAGGATTTCATTTCTACCATTTATCTTAGAGTTCTATCAAGTTCTATCCAACACTACATGGCACAATTTAAACGATTCTTTTTGACGTTACTAAGTAGTCATAACAAAATTGGTAAGTTTCCTATGTCAAAAATAAATTAATTCGAAGTTTCAATACAATAAAATATAGAAAAATAACTTTACTTTTATTCATCGATCGATCGATACACTAAGTTTTTGATTTTTACGTTATACGTATAGTTTTTGACGTTTAGATAAAAGTATTGAATTTGACCAGTTGGAAATTACCGTATTGAAACACTAGTTTTTTTCGAAATTGTGTGTATAATGTAAGTTGTATCTATATATGTAATCTGTGGTATGAGGGAGAAAGTTTAGAACCAACTTATCATACAAAATGTGTGCCTGCAAGTTTATTCTATAGTGGTATTTTGAAGAAAAACCTCATCAGTTTAAGTGGAGTATTCTATTTATAGTACCGATCATAGGCCAAATTTTGCTTTCGGAAAGCACAGTAAAGTTCTGTGGCCTCGGCCTGGAGAGAAGAATCGAGTTGGTTTTTAGTCAATAAGAATCTGACACTCTATGAGGAGTCACTAGATGATTGTTCCCCCTAAACGAAAAACAAAACTATCCCCATCATCGCTAACTATATTTCTAGTTAAAACATTTTAGTCGTTTTATTTCAGCGTATGTTTTTATACTTATTTTATTTCATACGTTCTATCGGCTTCTCTTTATACGTCTGTGCCTTTATCGTATCAGTGGCGAGCCTCTTCAGCATAATGTACAAGAAATCTGTCTCTCTGACAAGAATCTTCATGTTTCAACCTAATTAGAAAAAGGATAATAGAAGCATGTAGGACCGTGGCTGCTTCAATCTTAATTTTTACATACACTATAGCAACTCGCGATTCATTCGGAAGATGAAAAACAATAATGGCTACAATCTGCCCGATGACCCGTAATCTTATATTTTTTAGGAAAGCTCGTAATAACTAAGTCGGTTTTACTGTATTCGGTAAAAAGACTTGACACGGCTCTTTCTGCCCAAACCATAATAAATTCATCTGAGCTGAATTATGCTTATGCTGGCAACATACATCCTTATGTCATTGAATGTCATGTAAACGCATCCTATTGTTGTATTTATTTATTGTTAAATTAAGACAATTTGCTGAATAACTATTTATAATACCTAATTAAAATTGCAATGATTGCTGAGCTTAAATGAACTTGAAGCTTACAAACGGTCAAATATTAAGTTTTTATTTTATAATTTGTCCACTATGGATCTTCAAACATCTCATTTGGCCGCAGCGTTGATGTCGGGTCCATCGTTACCAGCGTATAATAATACGTCGGCTGACGCGACTGCGACGGTAACCGGCCCACCTAGTAATCCGAATGAGGAAGTTAAAAATGAGAAACCCAACGACCCACCGAAGGACCCGCCAGAAGAAGAAAAAGAAGAACTAGCTAGTGGAGAGGAGTACTCTGATGAAGTAAGACTTATGTAAAGCAGCTAACTCAAACTATTTATTTATCAATCTAGAATGTTTCAGATCTATTGTAACCTTTTCACTTCATCCCTAAGGGTTAGCTACTCATAACATTTTGTATGAGGAGCTCTAAACTTTCTCTCAACCATTATGGTAGTGCAACAAACCTCCAACCTACATCATAGGTTTGTTAGAGATACAACACACACTGTACACATGATCTACTTTGTCAATACAAACAATAGTTTTAAATTTGTTGTTACAAAGTAGCATTAGTAGAAATAATATTTTATTTAATACTTAATACCTTAGGCATTTTATCTCAGTCCACCTTTAGGATTTCTTAGTTTATCTTAAAGACTGTTTTCAATGATTTCAGGAAATGGAAGCTCAATCTGGCAGTAAGTCTATGCCAGGTAGAGGAGTTACTTTACAAATGCTGCTAGAAGAAAAAATGCTTGAGCCAGGCACTGCAGCTATGACGATAGAATATTTAGTAAGTAGAAAAAATAATACAAGGTTTCATTTTTTGTTTTGATACAAAGGAATCTAGAATTTTATTTTAAAAATAATTGTAGTTCAAACTTCAAACTTCACTTTCTTTAAAATAATTTTGATTTCAAAGTAAATTGTGCTTTGTAAATGTATGTTTTATTGGATTTTGTACTCTATGGTGTATTTGTATTATTTCAGGGACAAAAGTTTGTTGGAGATTTGCAGCCTGATGGTAAGATAAAGTCTCATGAGACTGAAACTATATTTTGTTCACCATCAGCATGGGCAATACACTGCAAGCGCATAATAAATCCAGACAAGAGGTCTGGATGTGGATGGGCATCTGTCAAATATAGAGGAAAGAAACTAGATACAATTAAAGCTACATATTTACGCAAGAAACAGCTGCAAAGAGAAAATATGCATACTGATGGTAAGATTTTTCTTATGGATAAAAAATAGGATATTGTGCTAGATATAAATGGAAAAACATTTGCTAATTGTTATAACGTTTGTACCTACTAGTTTGTATTCAATGAGGGAATGAAAAAAAAACACTAATTAAGGCTCTCTACAGAAAGCACTGCCATCACCACTAATTTTGTTTTAGATGCATAATATTATGGTCAAGAATATTTTTTTATTTCTTTTATCTGATAAAGCGGCCTTTATTCTTTATAAGATGATAATGTACATGTGTACATGGATTTCTTGTTTTATTTATAAACTGTTTGTAATTTTGCAGAGGAAGTGGAAATGGAGGTTGAAAACCCACCTGAGCCCCCACCACAGAGGGTTGTTATGAAACATAACACTGTGCCAAACAGAATGATGCAGCAGTTAGTATCTTGTTTTTCATTTTAACTTCATAATAATGATTGAAATTGTAATTGCTTTTTTACATGAAACTGTAAGGGTTACTCAGTTGGTTTTTATTATAGAAATTATAATCTGTCTGAAAGTAATTAATTATAAATTCAATTTAAAATTTCAGTGATGCCAACATGTTAATAGAAGCAGTATCGTTTTCATCTGCTGGGAAGGTGCAGCCTTTTCTGGTGTCTGTCAGTTCAAATGCCAGTCTTGTGCTAGATATCCACTGTCATTTGAAGAAGGAAGAAGTTTACGGATATTTAGCTGGCACTTGGGATTTAAATAGCCATAGTTAGTATTATTTTCATATATTTATACACCATTGATATTGATCAATCAGTTCATTAAATAAACTACAATATTGTCATATATGGATATATGAATTATTTATTTATTAAAATTGTCACAGAATATGAAAATTACAAAAGATTTAATTTTTTTACCTTTATTGATTTGAAGTTTCTTATGTTTGCAGATGTTATGATTACACACACATTCCCGTGTTTGATTAGTAAGAATGATAGCCGACCCCGAGTTCTTGTAGAACTGGAGATTCAAATGGAAATAGAGAAGTTAGGTCTGACACTGCTGGGGTGGTACCACTCTCACCCAACTAATCCTGCTATGCCAAGTTTGAGGGATTGTGACAATCAGTTGGAATATCAAATAAAAATGCGGGGACCAAGTGAAATATCGTATATTCCGTGCATTGGAGTCATTTGCTGTAAGTAAGATACCATTATGATTGTTTAATTTTTATTTTTTTGTGAATTCTTAAACAAATTTTTGTTTTACTTTTTAGCTCCATACAACCCCGAAAGTCCAGTTTTGGAATCATCGCTTACCTTCTTTTGGGTGATGCCGCCACCTGAACAAAGGCCCACCGAGTACCCGCGTCCGCTGCTCCTTCAATACAACATGGTACATGACAGCCACTTATCACCACACGCTATGGAACAAATTAGGAAGAGTATCAAGTACTATTTTTCATTCTCTGATGACACATTTGTTGATTTCAAAGACAATTTTAAACCTGATATCACATACTTAGACAAATTGAAATGCACCTTAACTGCGAAATTTCCTAGGGAACAGAGTGATGGTTTGTTGTGGCATTTTATACGCGATGAGTTAGGTTGCTCTTCCGAGAATGATGATAAAATGGACCTTGATGCATTATTGGCGGTTCCTCAACCCATTCCGGTGTCGAAACCAAGTCAAATAACATCTGTCCCTAATTTCCCATCGGTCAGTACACTACAGCAGATGGTGAGCCGGCCGGCAGGCGTTCCTCCTATCAATGTGTCATCGGCCATAGGTTCAGGTTCTCCTCATAAGTTCGAAACGCCTCAACTCAACATTCCTGTACTACCAACATCTTCCAAATCGTCATCAAAGTCCGCGACGCCAACGCTCCCATCACCATATCCTACAGGATTGGATATGTTAACTAGCATGGCTCTAGGATTAGGTTCTCCAAATATGCCTCTACCTATGGGTGCATCTAGTCTGGAGAGTTTGGCTGCTGCTAATAGCATGCTGACTGGTCTCACCCCAGGCATGTCTTCGAGTCTAGCAGCTAGTTTATCAGGTAGCAAACTTCCTGATCCACCGTCCTATGCTGCATCTTTGCAGAATTTAACCAGCAGTATTGGTAGCTATGACAAAACACCGAGTAGCACATCGACGAGTACCACCGCTACGGGCACTATCCCCGCTAGTCTTGCGTCCAACCTCATGATGAGTTCTGCAGATATTGCCAATGCTTTATTCTCAGCTAGCAAATATTCCAGCGCTGGAATTCTGGGGATTCCAGACCCAATGTCTAAATCAACATTAGCTGCAAATAATATGTTTTTATCCCCATCGTTAATGAAAATGCAAGAATCTCTTCTGAAACCACTTTCGACGAGTAGTCCGATATCAACAAAGGCTGGTTTAGATCAAAGCATGTTAATGAAGTCACCCCATGATTTATTGAAAGGCAATAAAGATTACTTGCCGCCTGATTTCGGTAGTATTGGAAAAGGTAAAACGGATTCATTAGAAGGTATGAAGTTGAATGAAACAGCTACATCTTCAAAAATGGAAACAGCTAAATCTGATAGTATGGACGCTCAGGCCACTGACTTTAGTATGCCTTCACGTGTCGGCGGGGAATCGTTTCTGAATCAGATGTTAGAACTAACAAAAAAGACTACAATGCCTGATTATTTATCGGATTACAATCAACCCCTAAAGTTAACAAAGCCGGAAGACTTATCCACTTCTGTCCCTTCTAGTCATCATCCCTATATGGGTTCTTCAAGTATCGTAGATACTATAGCGCAGGTCGCTATGGGAAACTTTTCAAAACATGACGAACCCAAGGACTACGCGAAAGAGACGGATTATAGTACCAATAAGGTCAGTAGCAATGACAATGAAAATGTATAAACTTTTTCATTGTAGAACTAATACATCTAAACAACTTTAATTGCGCGTTTTTCAACTTTTTCACTAGGCTATATATTTTCCATATTTCAAAATGTATCTCTCTATAGATCTCTCTCAGAGTAGTAGAAACTGTATGTTACTTTAAAAAAAGTAGATATTTTTTTAAGAACAACAGTGTTTGTTCAATATCAGACAATTTCTCAAAAGCATTTTTGCATCTATTTTGAAGTCTGATTGTAACTTTAGAAGCCTTAAGTTTTAATGTGATGATGAATAATACGTTCCAAACAAAGTGAATTGCAGCATAATAACCCCGTTCTCATGCCATAATTTGGATCGGATTACAGCTAATCAGTCTAAAAAGTATTATTGTGTATAATCTGTGTACTCGAATTTGTGTCGTTTGTGTGTAAGAATAAATGCTAGAGTGTATTAATAGATTAAATTCTCCCTATTTTTATTAATTTTGTACGTATCATTTATAATATTTATTTTATATTAAGATTAAGATAATAAACTCTTGATTGTGACGCATCTGATATTGTTTCCTTTGACTCCTAGCAAAAGTACAAATATTTATTGAAATCGTTGACTTCCTTATCACTACTTTAATCGACCAATTATTTGTTTGGTTCTTGTAAAATATATCAAGTGGCGGTACTTTGTGAATAGAATACAGTTATTTTATAGATAGATAGATTATTCATTCAAGTGCCAATAGGCCAAATAGGAAACGAGACGCTGCTTCAGTTGCTAACAAGTGACTAAAAGTGACGGCGTGGCTCTTTGGCCGAACATTAAAAATTATTGTTTTGAAATACCTATATTGGATGACCTCACATACTCGTCATTGGTAAATAACGTAGAGGATGAGATCGTATAATGTGATAATAATTAAAATCAAAGCACGATTGATCTATACGATATTTGATAATGTGGCTAATCAGCCAAGATATCGTTATGACGGGCCACAAGATATGAGGATTATGTTAGAGCGGGCTGGTGCCGAACCAGTGTTTTACCATATCCTCATTTACTTCGACAGGTTTCCGGTGATAACACAAACTCGCTATTTTGTTTATTTGAAATAAAAATAAGTGTCGTATTTCCAAAAGTGATACAGTGCCTGTTAATAGTGAAAATATGACTTTTGTGCATTAAGGTAAAATAAAGTACCTATTTCGTAAACAATACAGTTTCCTACCTATCTTGTTACAAAGGTATTTTCATGAAGTTTATATTCTTAAATAGATTTACTTGTCTGAGGTGGTAGTGAGCATCTGCATAGATAAAAACCATAACAGAAACAGAACAAATAAAAGTGGTAAATATTTTTTGCAGAAATATCTCGAATGGCGAAACCTAAAACTCCTGGATTTAGGGCTCTAGATGAGGAGAGCGATGAGGATTCGGAGTTAACTCCATTATATGATGACATTGAAGATTTAGGGTATGTAATTTACAACATAAATTTTATTTCATAAGAAAACCCATCATTTTTTTCAAAATAAGTAATGTTGGAACCCTCTAGAAACCATCTAGGTCCACTATACTAGTAGGTACTAGACGCCTTTTTTTGTGAGGGGAAATCATCAAATGAATGGCTCAAGGTCGGGTGGGAGGGAGTGTCAAACTTTAAGACTAAAACCTCTCTGTTCCTTCTTTTGTTCTGGCCCCAGGCCGCGTTGCCTAATTAGGCTTACCCTGCAACCCCGGCTGAACATCAGCCCTATAGGGCTATAGTGGTCTATTGACGCGAAACGCAACGCGCCGTATACGTGAATGTTGATGGCGTATACCTTCTAAATGTGGACGCAATTACCGACGTTACAACAATAGGGCCGCATATTTAAATGAGATTGTTTCGATTGTAAATATGCATTTAAATCAATTTCTACAAAATCCTAATCTACTAAAGTAATTAAGTTTATTCCTTTGTTGGATTATACTTACATGGATGCAATAATTTCAAAGTATCTAACGATTGATGTACCTACGTATTTATATGGAATTAAAATGACGTACCTAATTTTCCTTAAAAAAAGGAGTACAAAGTCGGTACTAGATTAGGCAGTATAGATATTTTTCGTCATAATATAATATGCACATCAAAATCTAATAAAATAAAATTCTTCAGACAAAGAACAGCTCAGGAGGCAAAAGGATGGAATCTATTCCGAGAGATTCCTGTGAAGAAGGAGAGTGGGTCTATGGCATCCACTGCCTGGATAGACTTCAGTGTAAAGATCCTCAAAGTTGGGGCGTACATTTTTATATTTTGCATAGTGCTCGGTTCTGCGGTTGTGTCTAAGGGCACGCTGCTTTTCATCACATCACAACTGAAAAAGGGCAAAGCAATCATTCATTGTAATAGGCAGTTAGGTGAGTCGATATTTATTTTATTTAATTTATATTATTATTTGGTAATCGAGTCTCCCAACTAATGTGGTTATTCCCCAGAACTCGACAAGCAGTTTATAACAGTCCACTCATTGGAAGAGCGTGTGACGTGGCTATGGGCTGCCTTCATAGCATTCAGCGTTCCAGAAGTTGGCATTTTCTTAAGATCAGTAAGAATATGCTTCTTCAAAACAGCACCGAAGCCTACGTTTTTGCAGTTTTTGACGGTAATTCCCATACAATATTATTACATTGATACTGTCCCGACGCCTGATGACAATTTACGCATACTTTTACAATGATACTGTAGCCTATGATGTAAGGTATTTCCCCGTGTAAGAGAAAGCTGCTAGCCATTTTTACAACATGATTAGAATTGATTAGTAGAATACTGTATAATCACAACCGTTTTATTTTATCCATTGTTATCAGTGCAATTATTGGAATGCTGCATATTTTTTAGATAAACAAGGCTACCTGTTATTTATCTACTTATATTTAGTTTAATGACTCAAAATGCAAAGTAGAATATTTATCATGAAAAACTAAGTTTTAAAGAACCTTCTTAAAATCGTGGCATAATTTTAGTGATACTCAACATACCTACACAGTAATGCAATGGGGCTTTGTTTATCTAAATATTTTGGTTTATTTGTCGAGTGGTCGCTATCAATAGCTAATATGATTGCCGAGCTTAAGGTCTTTAATCTGATTATTTAGAAAAAGTAGATATTATTAGGTTTATCGATTACGAATAAGTATTGAAATTAGAAATTGCACATTGAGTTTGACCATATTACCTAGAGTTAGGTACCCGGAACAATGCGCCAAGTTTCATAACCGCCGAAATATTTATGCATTTTACAGTTTACTTAAAAGTGCCCCTTTACACCTTCGAAGAATCACCCAAACTTCATAATAATGCTACAAACATGACAATAAATCCATCCTAATTGTTTCAGGCCTTTATAGTAGACACTCTTCACACAGTAGGCATTGCGTTACTGGTCTTGTTCATCCTGCCTGAACTAGATGTGGTTAAAGGAACAATGCTGATGAATGCCATGTGCTTCATACCTGGAGTACTCAATGCCGTCACAAGAGACCGCACAGACTCTAGATATATGCTTAAAATGGTGCTAGATGTTCTGGCCATCTCTGCTCAAGCAACTGCCTTCGTTGTCTGGCCTCTGCTAAACGGCAACAGTGTTCTGTGGACCATTCCTGTAGCATGCGTCTTCATTTCACTTGGTTGGTGGGAAAATTTCGTCGGTGATATTGGGAAGCAATGGCCAGGTAAATTAATATTTAAATGTAATAGGTGCTATTTTTGAACAGTAACTATTGTGAGACATAATTTTTTTTTTTTGAAAATAACGACTTTCTCACTTGAATTTACTGAGAAAAGTTTTACTAGTTTTAAGTCACAATGGGACTCTTAATCATGAGTACTTAACATGCGCATCCCGGCTACGTCGCCTGTTTTCTGCTCTGTTTCTAGTGCAATAAATAATATTTAGCTAAGGTAGGTATTACAATAGAGTTACACAAGTCGAAATTTGGCCCTATAGTATCTACATACCATTCACACTGCACTCACATTAATCAGATCCACGAAACAATAAAAAATGGCGTAGGCAAATTGAATGGCATTTTGCATTGCCAAAATCAAATTACTGAATATCATTCAAATCATAGTATGTATCTAAAACTCCTCATGAGCTAACAGGCTTAAAGGCTTAGTTCTTCATAAAAGTTAAAAGGGTACCTAATGGAACACTTGATCTTACTTTCGATAGCTTTAATCTCCTTTGGAAGCCACTTAATTAGCAATGTTTATCAGTCAATGCCTACACATTTAAATCAAGTAGCCAGAACAATTAAAGTAAATCTCTTTGTTCTTGTAATTAATTCAATGCACTTAATCATTGATGAATTTTCTCGTTCGTATGTGAAATTAAATATTTTCTTCTTTAGTTATTACCATTGATTCTTTTAAATAATTTATTTTTGCCAAAAGTTTCTTTCTTTCAAGGTTACGTCGTCTTTGTATTAAGTTTTACTACAATTGGTTCTGTAGATAGTTCAAGAACAAGATAAAAACAAGCTGGTTAGAATATACGTTCTTTTTTGTAAGGGGAAAATCATCCAATGACTTCTCCCGCCTAGGGTGGGGAGACTCTTACTAACTAAAACTCCACCCGTTTCCTCTCCTGCTCTGGGCCGAGGTCGCGGTGCCTCATTGCGCTTAACCCGCAACCCCGGCTGAACATCAGCCCTATAGGGCCCCGTCATACATTGGTGTGATGTTTATCGAGCATCTTATTTTAGTTCTCGAACCTGTGCAAGAACTTCGAGACAATCTGAAGAAGACTCGTTACTACACGCAGAGAGTGATGTCATTATGGAAGATATTCATATTCTTGAGCTGCATCCTGATATCTCTAGCAGTCCAAGAAGATAGTCCACTCGCTTTCTTCACGGAATTCAGCACGGGCTTTGGTGAACGTTTCTACAAAGTTCATGAGGTAAGCCATTACGTATAAGATTATTACGATTGTTATAATACTAAGAGTAGCACCATTTCTCAAAATTTTTGTTAGATGAAAATTCAGTTCGATCATTTCAACAATTGATTCACGTGTGGTGTTGTCAAACACGGCAAAACGCAACGCTATGGTTGTTTCACTCGGGTTTTCTGAGCGGCCGTGGTATTACTCCGGTCAAGCCGACTCATTCGTGCCGAAGCTTGGCTTTCCCACACTTCTGAGACTTTTTATTACCAGATATTGGCTAGAAAAATAGAAAAAAATTCTTTGACAAATCTTAAATGACACCTATTAACTAGCCATTATAGAACAAGCGCGGATCCAGATTTCAAAAAAGGTTGTGGTCACAGCTACTAGAAAATCGGCTAAGTACGGGTCGGAGCAAGGACATGCTCTTCTACAATAATGCAAATCGTTTATGAACTTATGAATTAGATTATTTCCTTTTTTCTGAGCATCAGGACTTTGGCCTTAGGAATGTAAATAAACTTAGGAAGAAGTCGGACACGATTTCTTCTAATTTCTAATAGTCAGTTTCGATCCAAACCTATTTCAATCACAAGTGTAATAAGGTTGTGGGCATGCCCATCGTGCCCACAACGGTGGATTCGGCCTTGTTATAGAATCAGTGCTACTGTTTCTAAAGCACAGTTTTGTTCGAGTCACTTATACATTAATTATTTTTTGTTTGCAAACAGGTTCAAGCAATCCAAGATGAATTCGAAGGTTTTCTGGGCTACAACGTCATGCCGTTACACTTTGATAAAATGCCAGTTGAATGGGCTACTCCACTGTGGGTGGTGCTTATTCAAGTCGTGGCATCTTTCGTTTGCTTTATGGGAAGTTTAACTGCTTGCAAGATCCTAATACAGAACTTCAGCTTTACATTTGCGCTGAGTCTTGTTGGTCCTGTCACCATCAACCTGCTGATTCTGCTATGCGGCATAAGGAACGCGGATCCCTGTGCTTTCAGCCATACTATACCAGATAATCTATTCTTTGAAATACCACCTGGTAAGTCCCATATGATTAAACAATAGCGTGTAATTCTAAAGACTATCTACAGGTTATTTTTATATCACGTGACCAATTTGATGAATATATTTTTTATGTTTTAGACACATATGTTGTAGGTAAACTTAAAACTCGAAATTTCCCATAATAAAAAACAAAATCACGGTGAGAATTCATATTATTAATTACGGCGATTAAATTAGTTAATGTTTTTGATGTTAAATACCTCCGAATTTGAAACAATTAAAAGAAACGATAATTAATCAGGAAGGTATAGATATATTTGAAAACTATCTGTTATCAGACAATTCCAATAACTCTGTGTGTAGGTAGCTGAGCCCCTTATTTACCTATGTTTGTTAAAATATATTTGGTTCCATAATACTAGGATTTTCCCACCCGAATAGGGCGAGAGGAATTATCAGGCAGCATAAACCCTAAACTGCAATTTGTCGATCTCCAGAATTCTTTTGAGAAAGAGGGATGGAGCTATTAAAGGTGTGTAGCTCCATCCCTCTTTCTCGCACGGAAGATTCACGCTTTAACAAGTCATGGTAGGCCCTCTGTGCAGTTATGAGTAACTAATTAACAGAATCATTTTTGTTTTCAGTTTATTTCTTAAGGGAGTTTGTAGGGAAAGAGGTAGCGTGGATTTGGTTACTGTGGCTCGTGTCTCAAGCTTGGGTGACGGCTCACAACTGGAAGTCACGTGCGGAGCGTCTCGCTGCCAGTGACCGACTGTTCAATAGACCTTGGTACTGCAGCCCAGTCATCGACCAATCAATGCTCTTGAATCGAACGAAGAATGAAGAGGCTGAATTGACGTTAGAGGTGATTGTCTCCTATTCTGTCGTGTTGATCAAGTGGAAATATCGGCTCTCTGAGTACATGCGTGTGGGGATTATTTCCTGGATTATAACCCTGGTTACGGTAGACATTTATTCGAATTTTGATTTTCAAGAATTGTAGTAATTTGCGTTTAAAAACATCTAATCTATAAACCTATACACTTTTTAAATTGTACCTAAATCCATAAATTTTGTAGTGTATTTTGACTGTTCTGATGAATTATGATTATAATTAGAACCGCCACCAATAGTTACTTCTATTTTATATACAGGAATTAAAAGACACAGTAACTGAGGACGGGTCTGAGCTTAGCGGATTTGAAGTGAAGAAAGATGTGAAACCTTCCGATAGCATTACAAGGTAGGCAATAAATAAACATTATGTTGTATTGTAAAACAAAGCAACGAGTTATTTCGGTTTTTCGGAAGTTTTCCTATAAAACGGATAATATTTTGTGTCATATGTGTGTAATGTGGTATGAATGGAAATATTATTACACCTATAAAATTTTAATAAAAGTTACTTTAACAATTGTCAACAGTTGAAGACTTGTAGACGATGTAAAGTACTTTTTTTCGTTCATCTTGACATTAATAATGTGTGTATTGTATTATTGTATGACGTATGTCCTTAAAACCGTTTTATTTGACGGGATTAGCAGAATCGGTCATATCTATCTAGGGCAAATATTCGATATACATATTTATGTCATTATGATGTCATCAGGATATATGTCTGCGCAACTATGTGGCACGAAACGAAGGAAGAAATGATGGACTTCTTGAAGTCTATCCTGCGTTTCGATGAGGATCAGAGCGCTCGTCGCGTTGCCCAGAAGTATTTGGGAATCGTTGATCCTGACTACTACGAACTGGAAGGTAAGCTGTGAGAAATAAATTATGAGTAAGATCAAGAATAAAACAGGTCTTTCACGAACATTGTTCTCTCAGATAACTCTTGTTTTCTCGGTATAATCATATGAAGTAAAATTTCAGGAACATTGTTATTTCGATAACATATCGATCGACGTTAATACTTTGTTTTTGTGTATTTTGAACGCACGCCACCTTGCACTTTGCTCTGAAAACAGTGTCTACTGAATCGTCAGTACGTAACTGAAAACTGAATGTACTTACATACATATCTAAGCTAAGAATGAATTTATTTTTAAAACAATGCCATGAAACCACAATTAATCTTTTTCAGTACACATATTCATGGACGATGCTTTCGAGGTGTCGGACCATAGCGCGGATGACTCGAAAGTGAATCCTTTCGTGACGTGTCTTGTGGAGACTGTCGACGAGGCTGCTTCAGAGGTCCATCTCACCAATGTGAGGTTAAGACCTCCGAAGAAATATCCCACACCATACGGCGGCCGACTAGTTTGGACTCTACCAGGAAAGAACAAAATGATATGCCACCTCAAAGACAAGTCCAAAATACGACATAGAAAAAGATGGTCTCAAGTAAGCGGATTCACATTTTTGCGTTTCATTGTTCTTGAAATAAACGAATTTACTCAGAAATAATTAGGAAATGATAACTTATCGTGGAATTGCAATGCTTCGGCATGATATCTTTTGTTATTGATATCTTATTTATATAGAGTTATTATCTATCAATTAATATGGAAAGCAGTGAATAAACATGTAAGGGATTTGACAGAAATACCTAACAAAGATTCTTTTTATGGTCGATGACCTGTTTCACCTAATGTTTTGACGTTAAATTGAACATAATAATCATGTTGATATGACTGGAGAATAATGCCCCACTTTTAAATACTCATTTTCCTAATAATGTTAGGAAAGTGTATTATGTTTAAAACACCGCATAAAAGCCTATTATAACTTGTACAGGTGATGTACATGTACTACCTACTGGGACACCGCCTAATGGACTTGCCGATCTCAGTAGACCGCAAGGAAGTGATCGCAGAGAACACCTATTTACTCGCTTTGGATGGCGACATTGATTTCAAGCCGACTGCAGTTACATTACTAATTGATTTGATGAAGAAAGATAAGAATCTGGGAGCAGCTTGCGGACGTATCCATCCTGTGGGCTCAGGTAAATATGTCACATGTGTTGAATTTGGTCTATTGGCAAAGAGCCAATAGACCACCACAGACGGGCCCCACAGGTCCGATGTTCAGCCGAGGTTGCGGCCGCGGCACCGCGGCCTCAGCCCAGAGCAGCAGAAGGAAAGGGGTGAGGGGGGTGGTTAGTCAGTAAGAGTCTGACATTCTCTCCCAGTCGGTAGAAGTCATTTGATGATTTTCCCCGCACAAAAATAATTGTCCCGATTACTATAGACCACCTTACCAGTTACTTTTCTGCAGATTTCTTAAAACTGACTAATTTCAATCCAAATTTTTATGCAGAAGAGCTCCCTACTTCAACAGGTAGACTGTCCCTTTCAAAAAGGTTTAGAAAAGGATATGTATTGATAACAATCGCCAATTTGGAATTTTCCAGGCTTCATGGCGTGGTATCAAATGTTCGAATACGCTATTGGTCATTGGCTGCAAAAGGCAACTGAACACATGATTGGCTGTGTACTGTGTAGCCCTGGCTGCTTCTCCCTCTTCAGAGGAAAGGCTTTGATGGACGACAACGTTATGAAGAAGTACACTCTAACTTCACACGAAGCGCGACATTATGTGCAATACGATCAAGGTATGGAATCCTTATTTCGAGTGAATATTTTTATAAACAAGAGATTTTAGACGGAAAAAGATCTCTAAAATGTTTAATGTTCTGTAGATTTTTACCACTATTATAATAAATAACTACCACTACTGTACTTCATATATCATTCATGCTTAGGTCAGTTTATCTTAGGTCGAGTCTATACCAAATTCATTTGAATGAAAAAAAATACAATTATTTATCTTGAACAGCACTGTGTGATCCACAAATAGTTTTTTTTCAAGTCTGTGTGTCATGTGTATGTAAAATTGTATGTTTGTAAACGTACCCAACACCTAGAAGACCCGCAAATCGTAGGGTGGGGCAACGTTTTGTATATATTCTTCTTAATATAAGAATACTAGCTACTCCCGCGCGGTTTCACCCGCGGCTCCATTTAATCTTAGCGTGATGTTTTATAGCATATAGCACTCAGGAACATTGTAGCTATCTATCAGTGAAAGAATTTTGGCAATCCGATCAGCGATTCCAAAGATTACCCCCTACATACAAACTTACAAATTTTACCTGTTTATAATATTAGTATAGATAATGTATAAAATCTTTCTTTAATACTCAACCAGGCGAGGACCGTTGGCTCTGCACGTTGTTACTGCAGCGTGGCTACCGAGTAGAGTACAGTGCAGCTTCGGATGCGTACACTCACTGTCCGGAACATTTTGACGAGTTCTTTAACCAGCGCAGACGCTGGGTTCCCTCCACCCTGGCCAACATATTCGACCTGCTCGCCAGTGCCAAGATGACGGTCAAGGCCAATGATAACATTTCCACTCTCTATATAGTTTATCAGGTATTTATATCTAAGATAACGTTTTGTTATTATAATTAATATATAATGAATTCTAAGTTAAGTAAATCTAATCTTTTTTTATAAATAGTGTGGGTTTTTTTCAATGTAAAAAATAACATTATTGAAATTAATTTTCCTATCTTGGTTCGTTATTCTTGCTTTGGACTCCATTCTCAGTTAAAAAATATGTAATTTAATGGACTTTGCAGAATGATCTCTAGTATTATGGAAACTGCTTTCGATTTGCGAATCATTAATTCTGTGTGAAATTGTGAAATTTACACTTCACAAGTGTGAATTTCCATTAACGTGAATGAAATTCTTTAATTTTTTTTCTTTGTTGTTTATTCCTACTACTTGGACTCCATTCTGAGAAAATTTAAGGGGATTTGTAAAATTAATCTTTAGTTTTATAAAATTTACAATTTCTATTTGCAAGATAGCAAAAAGAAAAATTAAATACGTACAATAAAACACCCATTTTTAACGCTGTAACTTTCATTACATATTTTATTATTTGTTTATGATATACACTAACTAGCAGATAAAGAAATTTGAACTTTAAATCATTTTACTTATGTTCCAGTTCATGTTGATAGTGGGTACGGTGCTGGGTCCTGGTACTATCTTCCTGATGATGGTGGGTGCCATGAACGCCATTATTCAGATCAGTAACTTGTACGCGATGATGTTGAACCTGGTTCCTCTTATCATCTTCCTTATAGTCTGCATGACTTGCCAGTCCAAAACACAGGTACGTTTATGATAATTATTTTTAGTTTTTTACTGATATAGTGTTCCCATTTTGATAATATTTTTATTCGGTAATAAATGTTGTATGTCACGTTGTTCAAGTGATTTCTTATGTATTAACATATAGTAAAGTAAAAAGGTTATCGAAACCTAATATAAGTTCTGTTCCGAATTTTTCAGTTTTTGGCAGACATTGATTCATCAAACTCCAAGCGGAAGCTGGCGTTCGCGTACATATTATTTTTTTAATATGTCTCGAATAACCACGATTGAAATGTTAAATACAAAGAATTTGCCAATCTGAATCAATTAATTTTCTGCTAAATAATGTCTTAATAATAAAAAATCTCAAATTTCCAGCTCTTCCTGGCTAACCTCATAACATGCGCATACGCAATGGTGATGATGATCGTGATAGTGGGAATAGTGCTGCAGATAGTCGAGGACGGATGGCTGGCTCCGTCCAGTATGTTCACAGCTTTGATATTTGGTACATTCTTTATAACAGCCGTACTGCACCCCCAAGAAATAAAATGTTTACTGTATCTGGCTGTGTATTACGTCACCATTCCCAGTATGTACATGCTGTTGATCATCTACTCTATATGCAACCTCAACAACGTGTCCTGGGGTACCAGGGAAACGGTGCAGAAGAAAACTGCTAAGGTATGTTTGTATTTATATTTACTTCGAATTTTTTGTAGCTATGCTCCGTTCGTTTTGAGAAATGGAATACATATAAAAAAAGAAATTTTAACTACTGTCGCTCGGTTTCATCCGCTGATCGGCTTCATTTCATCGTAGCGTGATGATCTATAGTCTATAGCCTTACTCTATTAATGGACTAACGTACACAGAAATAATTGTTCAATTCGAATGAGTAGTCGGAGATTAGCGCGTTCAAACATAGGTTTATAATATTAGTATAGATATTTGTGGCATTATTATTATACACATGTTTACGTACAAGTTTACACAGACATTTAGAATACAAAAAAAAACAACCAATTTTCTAGATAGACTTAATATATCGTATCTTCTTTTATTAGGAAATGGAAATGGAGAAGAAAGAGGCAGAGGAAGCAAAGAAGAAGATGGAGAACCAGAGCTTGAGGAAGTTGTTTGGTAAGGGAGAGGAGACGAGTGGGTCGCTGGAGTTCAGTGTCGCCGGGCTGTTCCGATGCATGTGCTGCACCAACCCGGAGGACCACAAGGACGATCTGCACATGATGCAGATCTCACACGCCTTGGAGAAGATTAATAAGAGATTAGATGCACTGTAAGTATTGATTACTAGCTAGTCTCACGCGGTTTCACCTATAGCTATAGCACTCAGGAACATTGTAGCTATCGACCAGTGAAAGAATTTTGGCAATCCGACCACCGGTTCCAAAGATTACCCCCTACATACAAACATTTAAACTTACAAATTTTACCTCTTTATAATATTAGTATATATAGAAGTAAAGATTTGTTTTCGTGAGCGAAACGCATTGATGGTAAGCAATTAAAAAGGTGTCAATCAATTGGCGCCAATACAGCAAAACTTTTCAATGATCCGAACCGAATCCCTACAAACTTTAAAAGGTTCAAGAAACGAGCATACTCCTTTGAAATTGGCGTCCATGGGCGGCGTTGTTTACTTACCATCTAGTGATGCGTCAGATTGTCTTCTCTTAATTTATAAAAAATCAGGGAGCTATAAATGCGATGATAAAGTTAAATAATTGTTAAAGAGGGGGAGTGGGCTCACTCACATGGTTTAGGACAACGCAAGCGTTATTTCACCCAGGTTTTATGTAATATTCAAACCAACTTATAATCAAACCTACTAAATAATGTATCAAAGAATCTTTATGTGACACTGATTTAAAAAGAGTAGGTAACGATGGAGTTTCTTGCTATAGCAAGAAACTCCAACTAGGAGAAGAACTATAGTTCTTCTCCATCGGAATCTACACTTTGGAACGAGCAAATAGCTTCACTTAGAGGACTGACCGACAGACTGACACTTTATATCTTTAAAATTTTGTTTGACGTTCAGAAGTTCCTGAATGGATCTAATTGAAATAAATGATCTTGACTTTGACTTTAATATACTCATAAGTGCCAAAACTTTTTTTAACAAATTATTGTATTGCTTACTCTAGTCTTTCAAATTTTATTTCACACAGTATCCACTAAACAATGTTTTCACTAAACAACATTAAATCTTACCTTATTAAAAGTGTGGTAAATATATTATCGATGTATAGCGAAGTAATATTGTTGCTGCAATTAAATATACATTAAGAGCTAGATCAATATTTACAATGGCCGGTTAGAACACCATTTTAAAGATATTTATTCCAGAATTGCAATTGTTTACATTATTATTTTTTTCCACACAGCGATGTCCCTCCCGAGCAAACGCTAACACAAACGCTCCCACACACAAACATCGACACGGTTAGTGTACGAGAATATGAGGACAGCGAGATTTCCACAGAAATTCCTAGGGTAAGTATGCCTATAACATGTTTGATTACTTTACTAGATTTGATTTATGATATAGAGTCTTAAAAAAATAAGGATATGAAAATGAAAAGTCTAATTAATCGGTCAGTTAAAAGAGGAAAAAAATTACTTAAGTACATAAAAATAACTTTGATAAATCGAATTAAGGTTTAGGTAAACTTCGTGTTTAGGTCAATGACGTGACATCAAATGATATTTAAACTCAATATACTATCGTATGTGATTCTGTAAGAAAAAAATACGTCAATATTTTGAATTAATTCTCTATTACTTGCCTTAGGTGGGAAGAGAAGATCACCTTTTCTGAATACTGGTAGTATTTTTTTTGTTTTAAATTATCGTTGCTTCACACGAGGATTTTCTCCTGTGTGGTGGACAAACATACAATTTCACATGCACATGACACCTAGACCCGGAACAACAAATTGTGGGTCACACAAAGAGTTGTTCCGTGCGGGAATCGGAACCCGCGACACGTTGCACGGCAGCCAGTTGCCCAGCCACCGCATCAACCGTGCAGTCCAAAATTGCCTATGTGGTTATTAGAACATAACCAGGGGAATGTGGTTGTAATTATTGTTATTTACGTATGTAAATAATGCATTAGTGTATTCTTATTAATATTAATGTTTAACAACAGGAGGAACGAGATGACCTGATAAACCCTTACTGGATAGAGGACGTGGAACTCCAGAAGGGTGAAGTGGACTTCCTTACGACGGCAGAGACTAACTTCTGGAAGGATGTTATCGACGAGTACTTATTGCCTATTGAGGAGGACAAGCGCGAATTGGTATGTTAACACAACTTATAAAACTTTTTTAATTGGTATTAAATATTTCACTTGCCAGTTTCAACGTTAATCAAGACATGATTCGGTCGGCAAGTCGTAAATTTTTGCAATTTATTGGATTTTCTACCATATCGTATTGTAACAAAGTTTTTAATTTATTAATGAATCTTCTGTTGAACTGTTTTTCATTTTCATAAAATCTGATGTTTTATATTCTCAGTGGTGCTGATTTTTAGATATCTTAACTTGGTTAAATATCCGTCATTGTATTTAGGGAAGGAATCTTCTTAAAGCAAACAGTACTAAAAGTATATCATATTCCATACTCTAGTAAGTAAAATACATCGCAACCCAAATCTTTCTCAGGAACGAATCAAAACCGATCTGAAGAACTTGCGAGATAAGATGGTGTTTGCGTTCGTGATGCTGAACTCCCTGTTCGTGCTGGTCATCTTCCTGCTGCAGCTCAGCCAGGACCAGCTGCACTTCAAGTGGCCCTTCGGACAGAAATCCAGCATGGAGTACGATAACGATTCGAATATGGTATGTTAAAACTAAAAGTTCAACTGCCTTTTTCGTCGAGAGATCGTGATCTGGCGAAAATCGATATGGATAATGTATTACGATTCAAAAATATCCTATTAGAATAAATTGTTTACAGTAAAGTAAGTCAATAACTTAATTTATAAAAAATACGCCTAAATATGCCATAAAATATAAAAAAATATACGATATACTTAATATTTTGAGCTCAAGGAGTTTTAGGTGATGGGTTATCAGGGATTTATGGATAGGAGATTTGAGGATTGAGAATGAGGACGCGCCAGTGTTGCTTCACGACGGTTTTCGGTGACGCAATGGTATAACTGAGATCGAACCGGCACATTCGTGCCAAAACATGATTCTTCCAAAATAAAAACCGTTATAAAAAAAAATAGTGATTTGAAACGCTGCGCAGTTTATAAACTGCCAAAATAAAACAATACAATAAAGTAAATCTAAAAATCAATGCCACTTTTCGTTGTAATGTTATAAATCAACAATGCCTTTATCGATTACGCTAATTTTGATCTTGAATTATAAGTCCAGAGAATGTTTGTAAATAGTGTAAAAGTGTTTTTCTTTTAAAGTATTAAAAACTGAAATGTTAAATGACTTCTAATCCGCATTTCTTCTTTCCAGTTCACCATAACCCAAGATTACTTGACGCTGGAGCCTATAGGTTTCGTGTTCCTCATCTTCTTCGGTTCCATCATCTTGATCCAGTTCACCGCCATGTTGTTCCATCGACTGGACACGCTGGCCCACTTGCTGTCCACCACTAAATTGGATTGGTACTTCAATAAGAAGGTGAGTTAAACCATTTCTAACAGAAACTGATCCACATGAGACGCAGTATAGTTTCTAATGTGACTTATATACCGGCAATCAAGTAGTTAATAACCTGACAATGAATAACAGTTTTCGTTCTAATGTGTGAAGGTGCCGAAGGACTATGTGAAGGGGAATATTTAAAATATAATTTTTTTCTATTAACTTAGTTACATCTACGTATCTGACACTGGATCCTGCAACAGGATACCTGTGTATAGTACATGTGATGTCCTTTTTAGGTCCGTGTAAGTTCCTTTTTCTCACACCAGCGACCGGAAAGCCAATTTGATATGGCTTTAACCCCACAGGAGTTAGGCATGTTCCTTGTGCAGTGATAAGATCTAGCATCACACGATTAACAGTCCACTTCCATCTAAAAAGCTACATAAAAAGGGCCTAAATTTTCCTATTTAAAACGCCGATTAAGGCATTTGTAGGTATCTGGTTTTTCCCATATTTTATAAAAAAAAACAAAATTAGTACATTAGGTCAGATAGGATAAAATAACTTTATTTCTCATTTTTCACAGCCGGATGACTTATCGGATGACGCGCTAATAGACTCTCTGGCGTTGACAATAGCGAAGGATCTTCAACGACTGAACACCGACGACCTGGACAAGCGTGATAACAACGACCACGTTACCAGGAGGAAGACCATTCATAACTTGGAGAAAGGGAAGGAGAGCAAACCGGCTATTATCAACCTTGATGCCAACTTTAAGAGGAGATTGACTATATTGCAGAATGGAGATTCAGGTATACACCTTTCTGATTAGAATTAGTTTTTTTTTACAAATATGGTAAGGCGGCTAACGAGCTTCCGGATTACCTGATCGTAAGCAAAACGGCGCTGATCATGGTCTCCCCGAATATAAGAGCAGTTGCGAGTGCGTTGCCAGCCTTTTGGGTCGGATAATCGGATTCAATGTAGCAATTGGAATACTTTTTTTCTTTCTTTATTTATTTGTAGGGGCTTTTACGCCTAGCGAATGTCAGTCCTATCATACTCTAAACAATAATACTCTAAAACGACATGGGCACTAAACAAAACATGCGCTTCTTTGCCATTGGGTTGGGATAGGATTGAGGGACACAATTGGGTGAAGCAACTTTGGTCAACATAAATATAATTGAAATAGTGATATCGATAAATATTGCCTTTATCTAGAATTGATCTCTCGCCTGCCATCTTTGGGAGGTAACTGGGCAACTCGACGCGCCACGGTGCGTGCGCTGACCACGCGACGAGAATCCGTCATGGCGGAGCGACGCAAGTCGCAGATGCAGAGCCGTCCCTCTGAGGGAACCTTCATGTATAACCCTCCCGGCATGGTAAGTTTACTAACAATATTTACAGGGTTAATTACAATATACGGCTTACTTACTAATACCAGGACTTATAATCATGAGCAACTGTGCAATGCACAGTGGCCGATGGCAATTTTGCGCAGCTGAGTCGTCGGATAAGCCGTGTATTCTAATTAATTTATTTGTTGTGCTGAGAAAACTAATATGTACGGAAGGATATATATCACTAAATAATGCCTAATGTAACTCAGAGTGACATAAAGTACACACCTCAGAACCATAAAATGAACATATTATGCACACAGCTAATTTGAACACTAGTTGTTACGTTATAAAGTACATTTTGTTACGTTTGATAATCCTATTAGGTAGTACCCGTAAAATAAAGCGATTTCACTGTCGACTTAATATTTTCTTTGCAGGGAGATGTAATGAAACGACAAAGACCAACTCAACGACTCAGTACATATCTCTTTGACGGCATCGAGGGTGCTTCCTTACATTATTCTAATACTCAATCTTACGCGTGAAACGTGAATCTCGATTGTTTATCCTACGCCTAAGGTTCGACAGTTGAAATCACTTTATTACATTTTCGCTATTGTTATTTTGAATTCTCTTTAAAACGCTTTCTCATGCACACATTCTTAATTGTATTACAGTACACTTCATAATTATACACATTTATTACTTTCACACATTGAATTAACTCCACACGCGCTTTACTACACTTGACCAAAATATCTAGAGAAAGGTCAATGAAAACCGTTAGTTTCTTCCTAATTATGCAATTTTCGACATTATTACAATTGTTTTAAAGATAAAAATGTGTTTGTAGATTCAACTAGACGATATGGGTGGTCGACCATCGACGGCGGGAGTGTACGTGAACCGAGGATACGAGCCAGCACTAGACAGTGATATAGAGGACACTCCGGTACCTCCGCGACGCTCTACCGTACGCTTCCAAGACCACTTCGCATAACCACAAAATCTTACTGACATCTTTTCAAAAGATTTTCGACTCTATTAAGTGCTTTTTCATTTAAATCAAATAAACTGCTTTTTCATTTGGTTTACAGTTACACCCTAATTAATAATTATTATTGTAACAAGGTTTTCAGAAATAATAAAATCACACTGTACACATAAAGGAAGAACTTCTAAATCCGGATGATATGTTTTTGTATTACCTGATGGTAAGCAATCATGGATACCTGCAAGATCAGAGGAGTTACGAGTGCGTTTACGCCCTATTGGGGATTAGGGCTTAAGAGCTTTATGGATTGGGAGAGGGAAAGTATTGGGCTCCCGGTAACCTGCCACGGCGGAACATAACGTCATGGTTTTTTCACGCTGGTTTTCTGTGTGGCATGTTTCATGTGGCAAAAGCATGGCTCTCCCACATTTACTTAATTTACATTTATATAAACTTATAACAGAGCCGCGAAATTAGCTCTTATCGTCATGGACAAGCACACAAACACAAACAAACTCAGATTGTTACAATTTACCTATTGCAAATTAAAAACCAATGCATGATATCGGGTAATAATAACTACGAATGATTGGAAAATTAACTAAAATTAATACTTTATAGGTTATACTTTGTGGCGTGACTTTGTAATGTAACCGATTGCTGACGGGTTGTTAGTGAAACGAAAACACGCAAACTGTAGCGCCTTGAACATATACGTTGTTTAAAATTACGTGAACTATTATGAGATTTTTTGAAAGCATTATAATTTTAATCTTTGGGTGTTAACATGATCTGCAAAGGATTATCAATCTAACCAGCTATCAACCTAACCAACCTACCTAATCAACCATTAAGTGTGGGAAAGCCATACTTCGGCACGAATGGGTCGGCTCGACCGGAGTGATACCACGGCCTCACAGAAAACCGGCGTGAAACAACCACAGCGTTGTGTTTCGCAGTGTGATTGAGGTTACCGGATGCCCAATCCTCTAATCCCCAAAAGGTTGGCAACGTAATCGTAACTCCTCTGTTCCGGGTGTCCATGGGCGGCGCTGATTGCTTACCATCAGGTAATCCGTTTGCTCGTTTGCCGGTCTATTACATAAAAAAAACTTTAAAGGTGATGGTTTTAAGGATTACTTATTTTTTCGAAGACGTGACTTCACTACACACTCGGTGTGAGGTGTAGGTATGTAAAATGGAATGTTTGTAAACGCACTCACGGCACGACACAGGCGAAAATCACAGTGCAGAGCCACGACTCTATAATAAAATATTTTTTGTCGTGTTTCGTGTAAAAATATAAGTTTAGACACACCTAATAATTTCAACACTTAGGTAGTACCTAATATACTAATGTCCGGGTTCCGAAAGCCCGATTAATGTTAAAATCAACTAACTAGGTGTCAAATATCTTGTCAAGTCATCTGATTGGTTGTTGATAATTCAGTCAACCAATCAGATGACTTGACAAGAGATTAAATTGATTTTAACATTGATCGGCCTTTCGGAAGCCGGGTGTAAGTATAATAAATATATTCTGGTCTCTGCGTTATTACTAAAAAGTTCTAAAATGGTAAATAAAGATGTGCCTGATCGGGTATCGAACCCTATTCCTATTGTTCAGTTGCTGTACTTGCGGTCATTGGATCAACGAGGCAGTTCTTACATTATTTATTTGTTACATTTTTATAATCATTAGTTCACCTCTAGTTTTGATTTGCGTGAAACCTGCAAAAATTTGCTGACATCTCTTCGATAGATTTTCAACTCTATTAGGAAAGATTAAGGTTGGTATTTTATGAAAGAAAATTGATAAATTGGAGTAGGTTGGTGTTTCGTTTTTGCTTAGTTTAGGTGAAGGACAAATGAAAAAATATCTACCCATGAAAACTCTCGCGTTTTACGACATCAGCATCATTATAAGGTACTGATAAAATTGAAAATAACATTAATAGGTACCTAATATTTAAAGTTGTAATGACGTAGTATTCATTAGTAAATTATATACCTAATTTTATTGATCAATTAATAAATTAGTCAATTATTAACATCTTACGCAATTTGTATGCGGCATCATCTTCTTAGATAGGTACTCTAGATTTCCCGATCAAACATATCCTTTGATGACATGTAAATTGTAGATTGTGGTGGTGGCCCAGAAGTTAAGGCTTCATGACACCCTCATGACGGGTTCGAAACCTGGCAAGTACTAATATGACCTTTTCAGACTTACCTATACTTTCTGTGATTGCAGTGGTCGTTTATAGATATGATAACATAAAAACTTAATAGGATTCATACGTGCATACTATTAAACTAAAGTTTCCTTCTACGCCTTAAATAAAAAAAAAACAAATCATCAGTCTCTAAAAAGACATGTCACAAATCTATGTAAATTACGCCTATGTCATAAAATAATTATTTCCCATTAAAAATTGGGAAATCCGTCCAAAATAGTTGCTGTACCAAGTGACTCAGTAGAGGTTTAGCCTTTCGTTTGTCAAAGTAAGGGGTCGTTAACAGCGGCAGTGAGCGCGCGGCCTACCGACCGAACGCACGCGCAAACCATGCGCAGCGACGCTGTCCCGCGAGTGCACTCCTCGTTACATTGTGAAGTGATATACAGTATAAACACGGATTACAACAACGCTAATTTCCACAACATATACTGAACTGTAAGTTTACATCTTTATTTAATACATTTAAGGCTCTGGATGTGACCTCTCAGCCTCCGAGGCTGCTGTGCACGATCAGCTGCGAATGTATGCGAGGGTGTCGATAAGGTTCCTTGCATATAAATTAATAGGACCTCACAAAATAACCAAAAGAAAACTCCAGAAACATTTCAGTTTTAAAATTCGAAAAGACACGAGCGTCAGCATTGGTTTCTCTTTCGAAAGTTTCGTAATAACATTTATGTAAAGTGAGACTGACCGCTCAAAGAACGTGTCTAATATGAAGCATAATGTGTTATTTATTCAAAATTTTGGCGATGCTGTGGACCGTATGGTGCCCGCTACTAACTTGTATCTCGTAAACAAAAGTGAATGTAGGCGGCATGGGAGAGAATGGGAAACAAAGACCGCGGTATTTCCTTAGCTGGGCGCTAAACGACCTCTAAACGCCAACTGTAATAGATATGCTGAAGTGATACATAATTAAATTGCATAAAAAGGTTTAATACATTGTGTAAGGAGTTTATTACGTACATTACATAAGGCTACAGTATCGTATCTGCAGCTCTTCACGTAACATTGCTGACAAAATGATATAAAACTATGTCATATTGCATTTTATTGTTTTTGGTCCACATCATCAGTAGTACATTAAATTTCGATAAGCTAATAGTTTTAACAATTATAACTATAACACTATATAAGCCCCGTTATGTACGTAGATATGCGATTTCTAAAAAAAACCATACCTAAAAGATAAAAGTATTCAATATATTAATGTACATATTTCCAAAATTTCGATACATAACTAGTACTCGAATCATGAGAGTATCAGTAGGCAACGAGTTAGTTCAAAGCGGCTGCAGGCCTCGCTCACATCCGCAGCTAGAGGGTCGTTCTCACTAGAACAAGAACAATTTGGTTTCCGCAATAGTGGCCACTATTACGCTAGACAAGTGCAATTAGCTAATTAATAATAATCTTCGTTGCGCAGGCGCTTGCAATACAAAGCGTAATTAAAATTGTATTCAAGGAATTTTCGTGTTTTGCTCCTACTAATTTGCGTAGAGTTTTGCAGCAAAGAGTTTGGCAAATGTTTATGTACATATGTTGGACTTCAGAGATGCATGTGAAAGTAGAAGGAACGACATGCACTTGATTTGACTTATAAATGAGCTCGTCATGAGGTACATACGGTGTACAAGAGCACTCAATGTAAATCAAAAAGATTTTGCTTTAACGAAACAATGACACAATGGATTGTTTTTTATAAATAGGCCATAAAACAACACTTTTACTAAACAAAGATATTTTGTATTATGTAAAAAGTCTAAATAAAGCTGGAGTTTCCTATCTGACTACTCCGGGAAGAAATGCCGAAATTAAATCAGGAGGTCAGTTAGGGAGAATTGCGCAAGTACATTCTGTAGTAGGTAGTCTTTTAAAGAAAGAACCCATATTTTTAGGCCTCCATACTGATATCTCTCAAAATTGTGTTAAGGAAACCTTTTTGCTTCTTTCATAGTACAGAGCTTAAACAAATAGTCACAGGCTCATTTGTGATCTCTACACCAAGGAGGTAGATCAAATATTCCCCAGAAACGTTGCTTCAGCTTCCTACAACTCTGACTGCACTTTCGAATTCCTCACAGACCTTTATTTAGCTCGCAATAAAAAACTCGTGCGTGACGCAAGACACAAGTCACGACTGTTTATATCCATTGCGCTTTTGACACTAGAAATGTCAGCACGTAACTGTAGTGATATGCCAACGTATATGAAACGGAACTTAGCCACTTTCGTGAACGATCCTTGGACTGATTTCCGTGTTTACAATTTCGTTAAATAGTTATATCCGGTGTAATTATTTATGTATGTAATACTTCCTCAGAGCAAATACTGGAATCAATAGAAACTTATACATTATTTATTATGCCACACCTTTTTTCCTATAATGTAGTACTGGAACGTAGTACTTAGGCATATTTACTTCCCAGTTAGATATTTTCTATTTCTCGTCTACCATTTATCAAGGATGTTTGGTAAAATCGTCGGACGCAATTACTTAAACATAACTCATACAAGTACAAATTCAAAACGCATTATTAAAACGAAAAATTCATAAATAATAAATATCAATTCAGGGTTTCATGCAGCGATTAAGACCAACACAACAATACCTACTTTAACCGTTAGAAACCTAACCTACCAAATCAATTAAATATATTTAATCCAACTATCATTTATTCACATTCCAAAAAATATTTCACGGTCATTATTCGTACTTACTTTCATTGTTCATTTGTAAACTATTAAGTAGTCAGTTGTTTTAGTCAGTCAAACAGTCAGACCTTGACTGAGCTCCGACCGGAAGAAA